ATTTGGGTAAGCAAATAAGTTGTTTAAAATTAATATAGATATATATATATACTGTCTCAAAAATTAATTGGCCACCCAAATATTCCCATCAAACAAAGCTCTTTGAACCTCTCAGTCAGAAAGAGAACATGTTATTTAACTCTTATCATAGAATTTTTCATTTTGAGTGACCAACAGTGAACAAGGAAAGAGTAACTTAACCAACATATATATTCAAACTTAAGACATTTAAAAATCCCTTAAGGAACATCTAGTAAGCCTTTAGGAACACCATTCGTGTCTGACATTATCAGTCAAGAGTCAACTATAGTTTGGTTTAAATTACACCCAGTTTTAATTTGGTAAAAAAAGAACAAAAAAAAAAAGCGGGGCAAATAAATAAATATTTGATAATTCTGTTAAAATAGTACTGTAAATTAAACAGTGTTGTGATTGTATGCATGTGTTCTGTTTTAATTGTCCTGAATGGTTGTTGCTATGTTGCTTGCGCGGCATGACATTCTGCACTCAGCAAACCTTGCATCTTGCATGTTATCATGCTCCTACCGTCAACATCTACTTTCCGTTATATACAATCTGGGGTTAAAGGTAACATTTTACCCATGATATACAACATTGAGGCCATTAACATATTCTGTAACAAGAAGCTTAGAACACTGAGAAGCAAACGATGACTGACATACTTGTACTATCCTGTTCTTGAACATTGGGCTATTATTCTTAGTCAATAAAAAGGCTACATAAGGCATCTCCGACATAACCATTACAAGGCAATCCATTCTCTCCTTCATTCAACTCATCTTCATTCATACTTGGCTTAAAATACCTAGATTCGTATGGTCACCATTTCATAAGAAAGTATTAAAGTATTAAGGTATTGGGTCCCATCTTAATTAGTAATAATAATAATAACCACTGGCAGCCAGCGTCACTTTGTGACTTCAAAATCCGTGATTTTTAAAAATTGATTTACAATTTTCTATTGCTCTCTTCAAGGCATCTTAGAAAAATTACAAATACCGGTACTAATGAACATACTATGAAAATACAAAATCTTACTTAAGTAATTTTCTTTTATCAATTATCAATTATTTTAGATTGTGACACCACTATGTCCATATTTTAACCCAAATATGAGTGTAGGATGAGTGGCGCGATCTTGTAGTCTTGTTACTGACAAACAATACCCAATATGCAGGTCCGGATGACATAACTCCTGCTGCACTCAAGTTTTGTTCGGACAGCTTGGCCCCCCATCTCTCAATCCTCTTCACTTCCCTTCTTAGAAGAGGCATTTTCCCACGAAACCTGAAGCCTGGATTTCTGGTCCCTATTCACAAGAGTGGTGATGCAGATGACGTCAACAACTATAGGCCAATAGTTATTCAGTCCGCATTGGCAAAGTTATTTGAGAGTTTGGTTCTAGATGTTGTGGAGTTCACCTACAGGAGTTCAATCATCCCTCAACAACATGGCTTTCGTTCTGGCAAATCCACTGTCACCAACCTGATGGTATTCTCCAGCAATGTCCTCTCTGCTTTCTCTTTGGGTGAACAGACCGATTGTATATACCTAGACTTTACTAAGGCCTTTGACCGAGTGAACCATGCTATTCTCATTAAGAAATTGCATGCCTTTGGTATCACCGGCCCTCTTTTGGAATGGTTTGACAGCTACCTGTCGGGACGTACACTCAGAGTCAAGCTTTCATACAACATCTCCAAACCGATTCAGGTGACTTCTGGTGTACCACAGGGGTCACACTTGGGACCATTCTTGTTCAGCTTGTTTGTCAATGACGTTGGGGATTCGTTGGGCTGCGAGTATCTATTATTCGCAGACGACATCAAGATCTACAAGAAAGTGTCTTCTCTGCAAGATCAGCATGAACTCCAGGAAGCTCTTAATACCGTTGTCATGTGGTGCACCGATAACCTGATGGAACTTAATGCTGGAAAGTGTGTAGTTATGTCATTTGGAAGATGTCAGAACTTGCTTGTCTACGACTACACAATTCTAGGCACTCAGCTAAGGAGAGTGAATGGGGCTAGGGATCTTGGAGTGTTCATAACCCCTACTTTGGACCCAGGTGAACACATACAGAGAATATGCATGAAGGCCAATTCTGTACTGGGTTTAATTGCCCGTATTTCAAGGAGTGGTGCTTTCTCTACCAATACTTTGAAGATCTTGTATGTTTCCTTGGTGAGACCTATTCTCGAATATTGCTCCACTGTATGGTCTCCGTTCCAAGTTGGCCATATTAATTCCTTGGAAATGGTTCAAAAGCGCTTCCTTCGCCTGGTTGGTGTTCGAGCAGGGATTCGCTATACGGATGTAAATACTGATCATATTGCAGCTCAACTACAATTGCTGCCGCTCTTATCAAGACGAACTGCATTAGATCTGATTTTCCTGTACAAAATTGTCAACTACCTGGTGGAATGCCCCGAGATTCTTCAGATGTTGAACTTCCAGGTTCCTCAGAGTACACGGCTACAGAACGTTTTTGCCAAGCTGCACTACCCTACCTCATACATGTACCATAGTCCTGTACCTCGCCTGATGCGTCTCGGAAACAACTCCCATCTGGAGTTCTTCGGGGTTCGTCCTACTGCCTTTAGAAGAGATGCATTTTTGAGTGTTGTGAGCCTAGCGTGTAGTGAGTCAATGTAGTGTTGCACCTTGATATTTTTTTTTTTTTGAATTTTTATTTTTTTAATCATGACCATGCTTGGTCTAATTATACATCACCTCTCATTCATGTCGATCCTGTTATTGTGTTTGTCTTGGTCAGAGCTACTTATTACCATTGTATGCACTATTATTATTATTGTTATTATGTCTTGTTATTATATATCGTATGCATCTTGTGTCTCATTCTCAGTTATATCTCTTTGCTCGTTAACCATCTGTACTTTTACTTGCAATGCTAGCTTCTTTCTTTTTCGGTTTGTCCAGAGTCTGATTTTTACTCACTATTGTATGGCACTATTTATTAATATTATTACATGTCTTGTTATTATGATTTGTATGCATCTTGTTTCTCTTTCAGTATTATTATTATGCCTTTCGCACGTCACCTGATATCCTCTTGCATATCTTTTTGTAATGCTAGCTTCTTTTGTTCATAGTCCACCTGTTACTAATTTTGTATGTTCTATTCAGTAGTATTACTATCCTTATGCATCTTGTATTCACCTATTGTATTATTTAGTATTTGTTATTGCTTGTGGTATTATTTTGTATTTATTATTGCTTGTTATCTCCCGTATGTAATGGCATTATTGTACAATGGCTTCTGCCGTGAATAAACGAATTGAATTGAATTGAATTGAATATGCCTATAAAAAAATAAATATTTAGGCCTTAGGGGTCAATTTGCTAAATAAAAACAAAAAGCCAAAAAATTCTTTTTAATAAAATAGATTTAATTTTAATAGATAGGACTATAAACTAAAATGTAATTTAAAAATCTTTTAAAATTTGTTGTTTTGTCTTTGGTTTGAGTCAGGTTAAAAAAATTATAACATTTATTATAACATTAGAAACTAAAATGTGTGATGATCAATAACTGACAGATCAATAAGCTACTAACTGGTTTCAAAACCTTACCTTGCATTATTAGTTTCAGATTCCAAAGGAGTTTGAAGATCCATCAAGTAGTTGTTAATTATTTCAAACCTTACTTTGATGAGATACGCAAAGTTGATGAATAAACACTCGCACACAGCTGAGATCAAGTTATCCCACATAAGCACCACCATCCAAGCTACGGAGGTGACGGTAGAGTCGGGTGTGCTGATGTCAGTATACATGTAATACAACACAGCAGGCATACTGCCCAACAGCAAGCCACTTACGATCCACTCGGAGATACAACAAGTGACGGTCTTCTCCGAGTGTTGCAGCAGGGCTCTGATGAAGTAATCCATATCGTTCAGTTTCTTTATAAAAGCGGGTATACTAGATGAGAAAAATAAGGCAAAAAATATCGTACAAAAGCTCATCATGGATACGACCATTCGGTTAATAATTTTGAGAGCGATTTTCTGAAACATAAAAGGAGTCATGACCGTGATGGTTTGAGTGGAGTTGGGGTAGGAACTGGAGGGAAAGGCACAGAAGAAGCAAGGAACTTCAGACCCAAACACGTAAAACGGGAATGTAACACCGTGAGCGAATATTACCAAACTGGTCAGAACAGTGAAGAGAAATGCATAGTGGCTCGGTAAGGCCTTAGTCTCTCCGTTGATTGTCTCGATAGTGTATGGGAAAATACCAAAGAACTTGGATGTTCTATAGACATTTTTAATGGATGAAAATATATCACACAGTTGTGGCATTTTATGTGTGAAAGCTAGGATGAAACCAATCAATTACCAGAGTAGATTGAGGTAGCGTATTTAAAGCACTCATTACCAATGTTGTTAAATCGTTTCCACTGATATTGTAGACAAATGATAACCCCTTTTGATTGGTTTTATTTAGTCCATTGTTAATGACTTTGCACTTTCTTAGTTTTATACAAATAAAGTTTGATTGGGATGAAAATTTATTTAATCACTAATAAAATTAAATTAGGGAAAACATTTAAAAATAAATTACCACCATTGCCACAGCAAATCTGCAGTGCACTGCAGACCAAACACATTTCTTTGTTCTTTTGTAACAGTGTACTTTTTCTACATAAGAAAAATATAAGAATTTTAGATGTACACTTTTTAAGGATTTTCTCAAACGGGAAACAAATTATTACTGTAGGTTTCATAGTAAGACCTAGATCTGGGACCAATTTTCTTTTTTGTTTTGATGTTCTTAGAGGCAAAAAAAAACTACTCTCTTCGTTCTGTCTGAGATGTTACTTAATTATAAAGAGAATGTATGTAAATTAAATGTTAACAGTTTTTTTGTTTCTAACTTTTTAACTAATAATTATATTCCATCAAATTAATTATATTCACTTTGGTTTGTTGTGAGGAAATAAAAAAACTTAAAAGTCAAAATCAAAACAATTGTCTTTATTTTATACAATTAAATAATCTTTATACCTCATAAGTCTTTACACATTAAGCATTTTCAAAATAATAATAATACAGCAATAAAATAGCTGAGTAACAAAGCAATATTCATTGAACAGTAATATATCATAAGCTGAAAGATCAAGATGGTTGAAGTTGATAAATTGTGTACCCATGAAAAAATAACTATCTAATAATAATGGAAGCTGTGTGTAACAAATTGTAAATCATAGAATGTTAAGAACAAGTTCACCAAAGAGCGGGAAATTCATCTGGCATTGTGGTAAACTTGTTGCACAGAGGACAAACGCTTTTCTCCTTCAGCCACATACGAAGGCACTGAAACAGAAAGTAACACTCTATTAGAGAATCACAAGAAACACTGTGCAGCCGTGACTCTCTGCCTTGCATCACAATGTTCAAAATAACTTACAGAGTTCATATGGACAAAGAGTGAAATACCCCCGCCGCAGCAAACCTGCCGTCTAAGCGAATTTCCATTTGGCCGAATTGATTTTCAATTGATCTATTTAAATAACATTAGGTTTAACGAGTACCTAGGTTTGCTGCTACAAGGAAACTAATAAAGTAGTGTGTTTTTAGTAAAATATTGATAGCTTACTATAAAATAAATAAATTTGCCAAGTTTGATCAAAATATATCCATAAACAAGCAAACTACAACATTTTACAATATTCTCCATAAGAATAACATGGGAATTTTAAATTTACCATTTTTTTAGTTTTCTCCGTAACCAATAATCGTACAAAAACACTTTGATATACTGAATTGTTTGTTTTTTTAAGCTCTTTAAGAAGGTTTGGAGAAAAATTGGGAAATTTTGTGTTTTGAGGGTAAGGAGTGAGAAAAACCAATTTTTACCCCATAAAACCCCCCATAAAACCCTGTTCCCATGGTCCGATCATGCTGGATCGCGAACTCATTCAAGTTTATCCCGCCTTACACCTACAAACCAAATTTCATCAAAAACGGATAAAAATTACTCAAGTTATCGTGTTCACGGACACATATATATATATATATACATCTATATATATATATACCTATATATATATATATATACATATATAAAAATTTGAACGAATGGTGTTTTTGGCCTCTGGGGACATTAAAATGAAAAAGTAAATCGGTCCCGGGCCTAAGTCTTACCATGAGACCTACGGTAATAGCTACTTCCCTATAGGGAAATTCGCTAAAATCAAATCAGCCATTTATTGGTTATTTCAATCAGTTATCTATAGTTATTTACTGATTTAATAAATAAGAAACCGACAACATAAAATTTGTCATGGTAAAATCTGACAACAAACAGTTGAAAAAAGTACAAATTTAAGTAACACAAAAACATGTATTGTGACTTATAATAAAACACTAGAAGCTTAGCAATGCATTAAAAAAACCTACAAAAACATTTCTACCAAACAACAAACTTTAACTCACTACTTAGAACTTTTACTAACCTATGATGTATTATTTTTAGTTATTACGAATAAAGATGGTTTTAATTTAATCACTACAATCAATTTAACAGCAGATTGCAAGCTATATATTTAATTTTAACCAAATTCTATGTAAACTAAAGCATAATGATTCGCTCGAGGCTCATTAAACAAATAATTAATAGAGTAAGCTAGTCTAATTAATTACTTAAAAAAGTTAGTATAGAATAAAATAAACTGTATCAGCAATCTAACAAAACTTTCTCCTTTAGCTTGTTAACACCCTTATCATTGGTTAGCAGTGGAAGTAACTATGTTATTTGATAGGTTACTACAATGATCCTGGCTAATGAAACAGCTGATCTTAGTCAGTTACAGAGCTACACAGATCATATCACATTCACACATACTTGGGTTCAAATACGCACCTAGGTGGTGGCGTGTCCATCACAATTATGATTGATATTTTATGGGGTGAATCACAAAAGTTGCAATAACTGTTAAACAACCATTTTAATAGCCATGGGGGTTGTGCCATTTAGTGTAGAGTTAAAATGCCATAATATGCAAAATTTTAATTAAAATAAATCAAGACGTTTCTTTGAATATCAGAATTTTTTTCTTATGGAGTTTTATGGGAAAATCACACTAGTTGCAATAACTTTAGAACAGTAATTTTTACAGCAATGCAGGTTACACAGGTTTGTTTATAGTTAAAAAGACATACTAAGTTTTAATCAACATTTTGTGAGCAATTTTGTAAACTAATTTTCAAGTTTTTTTAATGGCTTTTTATGGGAAAACCACCGTTGAAAGTTAAAATTTCCCAAAGAACAAAAAGTACCATACGCCTGGAGATATAATGGAGAAGTACCTACATAGCAAATTACATCAAAATCTGACCACTGGTGTAGTTTTTAGATCTGTACACATCCACACTCACAAACAGACACACACAGAGACAATTTTTTCTAGAAGTGTTTTTTTTTTTTTTTTTGGGGAATTCAAGGGGACCTGAAACGGATATACCCACCCAAAACTCTAAAATCTGAACAAAAACAATCAATTCTCCATTCACTATGTACAGAAGGAGAAACTAAAGTCAACTAATTAATGAAATGTGGTAGACTGAAGTGTAGACTAAAACATACATGGATTTGGAAGAGCAATGTTGAATGTGAGACTATTTGACTCACCTTTGTGTGAAACTCATGACTGCAATCAACTTTAGTGCGGTCAATCCCCATAGGCTCGAGACATATGGTACATTCGTCGTGTTGCAGGTTTAACCATGATTTGGTTTCCTGCGGTTTTACCGAACCCCAAGCCTTATCGGAAAACTTGACAAGACCCATTGTCGCTGAAACACGACCAATCAAATGGCATAAACGCATCTAAACACCAAAATATATTTTATCTTTGACTACTAAGAGTTAATTTGCATGCATAGTTCTTTAATAGAAAAGCAAAGGTAATATCAATTTTAGATGAAAAAAACAATTAAATATATTGGATCAGAAAATAGGAAGGACAACCATTTCAAGGGAAACAATGAAAAACGCGTTAGCGTTAAACCACATAGGACTCCTTAGATTTTCCAATAGCTTTCTAGGAGCCAAATTTTCAATTATTGTTTCTAGCAGCACCTTATATAAAAATGACCAAACCAAAAATGATAACTGTGATATTGAAGTATTAAGATTTTTTTATAGTTATTGGCATGTTTCTGTCTGGGGCTTATAGCTTTAAACCTTCCTTACTGTAATAATGTTCAATATAGTTAGCTTTTAAATACAGTAGACTTCCTCTTATCCGGACTCCTCGGGACTGAGGCCAGTCCGGATAACGGGTTTTCCGGTTAAACCGACGTCCCCAAAAACTCATAAAACGGACTGTTTACTGTGATATTCGACTTAAATTTAGGAGAGCATTGTATTTAGACACGTGATCACTGGTCTCAAATCTCTCCCACGAGAACAGTCGTTTCAGTACTGCCCACTTCCTGCCGATCTAGTCCGGTTAAACCAATGTGCTGATAAAAATTGTCCGGTTAAACAGATGTCATTTCCGCCGAGTGTAGTCCGGTTAAAAGGTATCCGGATAAGAGAGAGTCTACTGTAATTTATTAACAATTTAATTTGCTATGGGTACTTTTCTAGTTTTTTTTAAAGTAGGCCTATTAAAGATGTCAAAAAAATGTAACTCTTTTTTAATTTTCAAGAGGGAGTTTAATTATTTGTGATACTATCATGAACAACTTTTTAGTTTTTATTAATACTTTTTCAATTTTTTATCAACATTGCTCTTGATATACAATTTTGTGTGTATATAAAAATAAATTACAGTACATTAATAAATCTATTGTTAAATAAATAGGATTGCTCAGCAAATTACATTTTTTTTTTCATTGTACAGTATTGATTTATCTTTGAAACTATTAGACCATTAATACGTTTTTATGGTAAATATTTTAACATCATTACTCCAACGTTACGATAACAATCACAAAAGCAGACCAAATTACATTGAACAACACCATTAAGATTCCAACAAGACCTTGATAAAAGAAAACAAGTTGCACCTGCTTTCATTATTTCTTTTAACTTTAGAACAAGACTGACTACAAATCAAAGTGTAAAGTTTAAAAAATTAAATAGTAAAAATAATAAAGAATTATAGAAAAATGAACAAAATTGAAATTTACAAATTTCAAGATTCATCCAGACACCAAAAGACACTATTATAATAACGTTTAATTGATTGCCTAGGCAGAGAAATCACAAAATGTTTACTTTTAGCTTACCACAGCTAGTTTTGTGTGATATCTGGTTTCCATGGCAACACAACTTTTGTTATTCCCCCCAAAAAACTATTAAATATGTTTATGAACATTATAAAATAAAAATAAATAAATAAAAAATAGCTAGGCTTTTAAGTCGGATATTGGGCCTGCAGCGGTCAGACGAGTAACGCTAGTAAGTTGGCACCAATGGGTTAAAGGGAGACTGTCCTTTTTTTAGGACGTTAGGATCTAGCCGGAAACCGTTTTATACATTACTTTAGGCTAGGCCTTGAGCGTTGCGGCATTATCAAATAGACAATGAACTGTAAAGGATTTGGCAACACAATTAATTAAACTAGTTTAACTTTGTATACTTAGTTATATACTAATCAACAGCTGCCAATCATTTTAGCTACATCAAAAGTCAAAGATTGCAAACAACAACCCTTATTAAAAAAAAATAAAAAATATTTTACACTTCAAATATACATCACTATCCCTGTACCAACAATTTTTTGTATACATGGCTACTTCTATGTATGAATCTACAAAAACAAAACAAAATTTACAATCTATTACTCATAATTAACTAATTGATAATGAAGTGAATGATGATAAACTTACAGTTTTTCTGCATCTGTCTCTTGGTGATTAATCTTTCAACTCTAGTTTCAATCTCATCAAATGGAAGACCAGACAGAGATCCGTTGTTGTGCTCTCTTACTTGCTTAACAATATCTTCTATGTCTTTGCTAGAATATATACAAAATAATTTATACATCATGAGTCTATGAAAAAACAGACTACTCAGTTAGTATTTACTGAATAGATTATTGTTAACATCAATAAAGAAAGTTGATTTGGCTCACAGATAAGTGATGAGCAACTACAAAAAACAAACATATTTTAAACAATATCTACAAAGTGATACACATTACTAGGCTATAATGTTTTATTTCATTGGTCAAAAACCACATAAGGTGCAACATGCGAACATAAAATAAAAAGTGATTTGTCAAAGCAAAGTAGTGTAAAAAACTCAAACAAAAGCTAAAAATGAGTAGGCCTACTACGGTACTACGTCAAAATGGTAGGATCTGGAAAGAAAATAAGCAATTCTTAATATGTTGGTATAGCCAGTTAACCAGATAATTGGTTAAAATGAGATTACTTACAAGAGATGTTACAAAGGTTTAAACAAGTTAAAAAGGAGTTTAAGTGAGGATAGCAGGCTTACATTAATTGGAAAGAGTCCAAACTGGGACAAGAAACATAAAACTGTACATTAAAGGCTGTACACAGTATATTAGTGTATATACACAGTAATATATACTTTAATAATATATATGTACATATCTTCAAAAAGAATTGGTAATATTGGAATTAATATTAATTTGAAATAACAACTTCACCAATATTTCTGAATTGATAAATGAATAAAAATTAAAAATTCAGAAATATTGTTGAAGTTGTTATTTCAAATTAATTAATATATATGTACCTACATAGTTTGTGTATATAGAGTAGTTTTGTGCCATTTTGAACTCTTTTCCCACTCAGGTTCCCACCCTCACTAAAAATCCCAGAAACATAGGCCCTTGTACTCTATGTAACACCATTAATTAGTCATAAACTCAACATTTGTATCTTTACTTACAGCTGAATTGTTGGGAATCTAGCCTGAAGCTTGTCCAAAAGTTTCTTTTTATTCTTCATCTTACCCTCTGTCCTAAAACATACATCAATTATGATTACAAGGAGACACATGTGCAAATTACATTCAAAACTTGAAGGACCAGCTTTTAAAATTACAATTCACGTTTTAAACTGGCATATAGAAAGTTAGTCAGCATCACTGGATCTTTTAAAGCAAACCCTAGAAATAAATCAAACGATTGCATGATTTAGGAAAACCAGGAAATGCTAGTGACTAATATTGATAATTATAAGGTATAAACTAGACGGAGAAATAGAATTCTACTGGAACAGTTGAACCCATGATGTGGGGATTTTACTAAATAGTAACTACTTTTAATAAATGGGTAAATGATGTTTTGACATTCATACTACTCGTAGTAACAAAGTATACATTCATAATGGTGGTGATTAATAAAAATAAGTTTGAAACTGAACTTGAGATACATTCTGTCAATACAATACAGTAGATTCCCTCATATCCATCGGCATAAGGACATCTTAATGGCCAGAATACTCATCTTGAAGTTGGATATGGGGATTCTACAGTTAGGCTATCACAAATAAATATATACTATCTTTGACTATTAATACAACACTATTTAACCCTTTGAACTCCAAAGACTATTCAGTCACTTAATTTAATCTATTCTTAAATTGTGTTTGCCCCGCATCTTAGAAAAAAAATGAAAATAATTTTAAAACAATTTCCGATAGAGACATAACATAAGAGTAAGGAAAAAATATCAAAATGTCTGATTTGAGGTGAGGTACCACTCAAATAGAACCTCCACCTGAGCACACACTAAGCTCTGCCACTGATTAAACAGGATTGAACTCCTAACCGAGATAGGATTAAAACTCTCAACCTACATTCTACAGCGCTGTCTTTTGGCCAGAAAGACAACAACCTAGACTGCTTGGCCAATCACATTCAAAGATCTTCCACCAAAACAAAACTTCTTAATTAATAGGTAGCCCAAACAACTGTTTATTTAACTTCTTCTAAGCTGTCAGCTGTTTTCTTGAGTTTCACTCTTATGGATTGTGACAGAGAGTTTTGTTTTGTTAATCTTTTGTCCAATATAATGGACTTTGGAGTTCCAAGGGTTAAATGCTGGGTAGACATGAAAAAAATAGGACATAGAGAGAAAGTAAGCATAAACGGGTGTAGTAAATAATATGTTTAAGTTAAATTGCAACAACCAAATTGAGCTGAAAAGAGAAAAAGTAAAACACAAAACTGGGAAAGAAACCATTTTGTAGAAGCATACAAAATTCATTTTTTAAATTTCCCTTATATAAGATCAAGTTAAAGAAAAAGCAGATGTAGAATAAGCATATGCAGAGAACAGGGTGTCTAGTTTATTTCCATTTTAAAATTCAAGACTAATTCCAGATTAGTTATGTGTTGATACCAAAATGTATATATTCTCTATTCTTGAAACCGGTACCAATTTGTTATAGTTTAACCAAATTCTTAATAATTTGGTTTTTCTACACAAACTCCTGTCTTTCTGTAATAAAGTATTATTAAGATAATGGGTTGTTTATTTTTTTTGGATCATGAAAATCTTCTGCAACCATGTAGTCATCATTGACTGTCTCCCTCGGTCACGGAAACATCAACATTGTCTCCTGCGGTCTAGGAAACGTCCATCGTATGCGATTGCGTAAAAATTATAAACATTTCCCCCGGCCGTGTAGACATCATCGTCAACTCCCGCGGTCACAGAAACGTCATCATTGTCGTCCGCAATCGCGGCAAAATCATAAAAATCTTCCACGACCGTGTACACATCATCCTTGACTGCCACGGTCACGGAGTCGTAGTCCGAGATCACGACAAAATCATAAAAATCTTCTGCGGCCCTGTAGACTCCATTATTGACTCCTACGGTCACGGAAACGTCATCCGAGATCAAGTTCATTTCATGAACATTTCCCGCGGTCGTGTAGACATCATCATTGACCGCCGTGGTCACGGAAAAGTCATTGTCGTCGTACGCGATTACGGCAAAATTATGAGCATTTCCCACGGCCGTGTAGATATTTTCGTCTTCTCCCGCGGTCACAGAAACGTCATCGTCGTCGTCCGTGATCACGGCAAAATCATATAAATCTTCCATGGCCGTGTAGACATCATCATTGACTGCCGCGGTCACGGAAACGTCATTGTCGTCGTCCGCGATCGAGGTAAAATTATGAGCATTTCCCGCGGCCGTGTAGACATCATCATTGACTCTCGCGGAATCATTGACCTTCATGGAAACGTCATCGTCGTCGTCCGCGATCGTGGCGAAATCAAGAACATTTCCCGCGGTCGTGTAGACATTATCATCATCTCCCGCCGTCACGGAAACGTCATGATCGTCATCTTGCGTTGTAACGAAAACGTGATAGTCGTTTATCGCAATCGCGGCAAAATCATGCAAATTCCGGACTTTGATATCAAAATAAAGACTAAATAGACCAACTTTTCAAGATCATTTTGAAATTCAATACTAATTCTCGACTTTCCCGTTTTTCCCGACTACTAGACACCCTGAGAGAATGATGTATTGGGATCGGGAACATACTAAATTTATTGCAGACATCAGATAGCCTTGTAAATAGCTGTTTTTTCCAGTGTAACAAACTAAAAAAATTTTTAAAGATGGCTCTATTATTGACATAAATAAACGATGAGTAATGAGACCTTGAATTGGGACCAAAAGCATAAGTTTTGAACAAAAGGGAGGACAATAATATTGTTCTAAGCAATAAATATCTTTGAATCGATAGTTTTTAGAACAATAATTGCCAAATTGCCTGATTTTCAACACGTTTATCAAGGTTTTGAATGATCTGTCTTCTGGTGTCAGCAGGACGTGCAGTAGGTATTTATTTTTAATTTTAACAATACTCAAAAACTGAATATCCCAATTACTTACCATCCTAATTAATAGCTATCATAATTAAAACTCTGTCAAATACATTATTTTTAACGTACTATTAAAAAAAATTATTTCTTTTTTAAGTTTCAAGGGATAGAAAGAACTACGGAAAATGTTTACGTCTATGTGAAAACAATTATTTAAGATGAACAATGCGAAGCAGTATAAACAGATAAAGTTTAATTGTAGTACAATATTTTAATTACTGTGCTAAAACTGCATCATTATCAGTTTAGTTTTAATTTTTAATATATGTAAGCATTAGGTATGTAATTATTTTACAGTTTTTAAGACTGTAATAATAAGAAATAAAACATAAAAATGAGTCAGTTATAGTTTTAAAATAAAAGATTGTTCTATTTTTGCTCATTTTAATTGAGTACCCTGACGAAAAAAGGTCAATCAATAAGTGATTGGTTGGGAAATTAAGGGGTTTCAACCCAAGGAAATCGAGAAATAAACTGAGGCATGAATCAATGACCAATGATCAATGATCAATGACAACAGTATGGATTGAAGTATAACCTATAAAAAAAAGCATTAGTCTAAGGCCCAAGTTTTAGAAAAGAAATAGCAAAATAGAAAATAGAACTCGGTAAAATATATTGTACAGTTGACTTAATTTATGTTAATATCATATAAAGTTTTAATTTTGGTACAGTGCAGTATAATAGTGTTCAATCTGGCAAAATTGTGCTTTGTTAGTTTATTTGACCTTTTATGAAAGCATAAATTCATTAAAACCCAGAGTTACATAATAATTCTTACCACATGGTGTCTGCTTCGTTTATTTTATTGCTTTGATATCGCGTAAATATTATCCACTGGTCCACTTCCACTATCCTCTCTATCCTTTCAAGATTGCAAAAAAAGTTAGTTCATGATCATACTTCATAGTCGTGATGAGTGCACAATTAACTGTACAGCAGTAGTATGTAAAAAAATAAAAATAAAAATAAATATTTCTTTGCCAAAACAGAAGACGACATCATAACCACTTGGGATAGGAAATCAAAATTTGTTCTCATTCTGTCGTATTATGCCTAACTGGTTTTAAAACCTCAATATCTATTTAAAATAACCTTTGCTGAAGGTATGGTTTTGAATTATTTCTGAAAGACTGTTTGTCAATATTGAAATTTATAGTCATGTGTTAATTCGTTTAAAAAATGTAAATAAAGTTTAGTTTGTTGTTTTGTTTTGCATTGAACACAAGCTCCGTTTTATTCTGCTAAATTTAATCTTAGCATTTTGTCATATTTTAATAATATCGTCCGTGATATCACTATTAATAATTGTGAATCGCGTATCAGTGACGACGACAACTCTTACGGACACTTATATGCAAGAATCAAAGTTAATGATTAGACAGGCTACAGTAAATGCTGTATCACTGATTTACCAAAATAAAGAGACTTTAAGCGGTTTTAAATAACCTATTTTTTTGATTAGACAATGGTAGGAATTTAAAGGCTAGTACTATTCAAAACGATCTGGAGCAATAGTTTTTATTTTAATTGATGTAATCTGAAAATTTACAAATGTATATACAAATCTGTCTTAAAATAACTGACCGTTAAACTTTATCTATATCATTGTGTGAGATCCATGATATCGTCTGCTCTAGGGTATTAGATTCCGTTGAAAAAGTCAGGGGCACGATAGTCTTCAAATTATAAACTTGTAAAAAACTCTTTAACATTCAATGATTACTATTTTAAAGGGGACCATAGTTTAGTTATTAATGTCAAAAGGAGGATTAAACATACTTTTTTGCAAAACATTTCATAACAGTCTTGTGTGACTGAATCTTTGTACTTTACGAATCAAAGAAATTAGGAATTATATTATTTGATAACTTACAGAGGTGCGGGGGGCTGGGCAGAATGCTTTTGAAGAGCACTCTTGGGCAAAACAACATTCCAGTCATTGCCATCGTCCCTGGTAGAATCGTCTGCTGCAGTGTAGACAGCTGGCTGATGTTCTAGACTGACTGCTGCTGCCACTCTGGCCTCTGCAGCAGCTGCCTCCCCAGTCTTGGTTTTTTTCTTCTTCTTTGTTTTCTCCGGAACAGGCGCAGGTGCAGGTGCAGGCGCTGGCGCAGGTGCAAGTGGAGGTGCTGTACGTACAGGAGTGGACTCCCGAGATGACGCAACTCTCTGCTCCGGTTTTGGTGTACCTCCTCTCTGTTCTGGGGGTTTTATGTCCTGTAAATTAGAGGTTGAGGTAAGCCAGTCTGTCATTTATAAATTACCTGTTTAATCTTTATACTGTACTACTGTGTTTACATTAGTGAAGTGTCAGTAGCAATTCTTATCAGTTTGGTTTCAAAATTTTGTTTTATCAGTTGTCAAATTTCTATACTGGTATAAAATAGATAAAATTATCACCAACATGTATTTAAGCTCAAGTCACACTAATGCTCATTTTGTTTGTTTACCGTTTACTGTTGGTAATGGTAAATCCATCTTGTAGCAGGGAGAATTTTTTGACTAGTTTTTTAAGCTAAGAACAAACAACGTGGCGACTCGACAAATACAACACTAGAAAGAAAAATAATTATTATCCTGAGAGACGTAATTTAGAAGTCTAAAAAATAAACAATTGAATGCTGGAAAGAGCTTTCTGAAAAACATCCAACAAAAAAGAAAAATTTGAACAGGTTTAAAAGTAAAATTAGCTTTGTATTAAGTTGAGGAGCTTGATGCTTACAGGAAAAGTTAGTTATATGTCTTAATGTCTTGATTTGATTCATTTTAATATTGGCTTTGTATAACATTTTATTTTTTCATGAATTACTCTATTCAATGTAGGTAACACATTTGTACTGATTTTTAAATGAATAAATAAAAAAAAAACATTAAAAAATCTTTTTCTGCACAAAGCTTTATGTTTAGTATAGTCATTCAGTCTTCACAACGATAAAAAGGCAGTGAATTAAAAACTGGTTGCGTTCCCAAAGTAATCGTGGATTCTGTCAAAGGTAGCCTTAAGGTTGGTCAATAATAGAATAATACACTACCTTTTTCAATTCAGTAGTGCTGGGGACAGTAGAACTGGGGACAGTAGGGCTGGGTATAAACATGCTTTGTGTACTAATAGGTGGCGGAGGTTTGGAGTGTATGGGACCTCCTGGGGCAGCAGCTGCTGGTGGTAGAGACCTGGTAGGCGGGGGCACCATAGGCGGAGGATAGTGGTAGGTTCCACCCGGCGGGGGCATCTGGATACTAGCCTCGTCCTTCACTGTTGGAACAATGCAAACAGTCTGAAGTCAATTACAATGATACTTTTACAAATCACACTATTGGTCTTTACTAGATGCATACTGTATTTACAATACCAAGGCTGTCCCAACTACACTTTGCTGTGGCATTTAGTACTTGAATGAAAAAGTTGTAGAAACAGAAACTGCACAAACAATAACACGAGAAACTAAAAAAAATACATTGCAAATGTTTTATATTGAAGATGGTTCTTTTCATCTATTACAACATTAAATTTTGCTAAAATATTGTAAGTAGTAAACCTAAGTAAAAATATACACCCTACGTAGCTACCACAAATTTATACCTTGTGTTTCAGTAGCTGGAGTGAAAGAAATTATTTGTTTTATGAAACGCTTGTTGGTATTAGGCCAACGTTTAAAACTTAAAACAATCTTAACTTTAAATCCATGTAGAAAGTTTTGTTTCTAATTCAGATGTACTAGTTAGTTGACAGTAATATTTTTGACACAGGAATAATGTGGAAACTTTAAAAGACTGTAAAGGGAGCTCTGCTTGAATAATTCTAAAACATTTCTTCTTCATGTTATATGTAACATGTAAGGAAGCGGTGTATTGGATTTCACAGCAATTCATTCAGTAGATTCTAAGGAACAGTGTTTCAAAAATACCCTTCGGCTTGTAATATTTGTATTAATGTTGAAGCATATAGCAAGGCTCACTTATTTATGAGAAAACCAAGTCACTTTGTTTTAATGGACTAATGGTATGTGCTACAGATATGGCAGGATTTCAAATTTGAATTTTTTCCCTCCAAATTGTGCGGATCAGGAACATTAAAATGTAACCAAATTAGTGAAGTTAAATATTTTTTTTCACTAGCAAAAAACACTACACAGTGTTAGTTGTGGCTTGCCCCTGAACAGGTAAGACAAATGTAGGCTATAAATAATATAAAACACTTTAGTAAATTGACCATACAACAAAGATCTAAACCAAACCCGCCTTTTTTGAAAACACTGTCTGTGCAATGAAATGAAATACTAGGACTATTCAAAATGTTTTGAAATGAAATTAAAAGTTCAAGAAAAAAAATTTGTACACATTTGAAAAAGCAACTTAACAACTAATTTTCTATATAGTCACAAAAAAATGAGGTACTGATCATAGCAACGGTCAAGTTTTGAATTGATTTATCTTGTAATTCTGCCATCTGCGTCTATACTTGATTGACCTGGCGGCATCAGAAGAAAATGTTCCTGAATTCATCAAATAAGAATAAGAGGGTTACTCTTATTCTTATTTGATGAATTCAGTGTGGGGTTTTGTGTTTTGTATCAGAATAGTTTCTTTCCCTTAAATAAATATTTCACTTTAGTACTTACATGAAGGAGACAACATACTGGAAACTGAAGATGATGAATTTAAGATATTGGAACTCTCTTTTAGCAGGGAGTGAACCTACAAAAATACATAATTCTGTTATATTTGAACATAAGTACCAACATCTTAGTTTACAAAGTAGACTAAAGCTCATTAGAGACCTTAATTTACGGACAACCCTTGTACTTGATGATGTCTACACTGCCGAGGGAGATGATTCGAGTTAGGGTTGACTGAAAATGTCAGGCTGGCACAGCTCTAGGTATAATAGCATTTTCTTTTTGATTTTGTTGTTGTTAGATCTTAATTTGCCTTTGATATGGTAGTTGTTTTATGTGTTTAAAGGGTTTTAACATGAATTAGCTAGTTAGAATTTTCCATTGCTGTATTATTTTTTCTTTACATCACCCCATTAAATAAGAATTACTTTATAGAAGTTCATGAAGTCAGGGGTTGTAGTCCAACCAACCCATTCAGAAAATTTGTAAAACTATAAAAAACTTTATCGAGAATCGGGAATCAATTTTTCAGGTATCGGTATCGAGATTCGATAAATTTTGGAATCGATAGATCGCAATCTGTTATGTATTCATTTATCAAAACAAATTAAACATTTCAATGGATTCTGGATAACTCAACAACCCCCAAACTTGACAACTTCTGGTTCCATGAATTGTAGAACCAGCGAGTATTTACTGTATAATTTACACTTTATTTAGGAAAAATCTATCTGAGACATAGTTATGAAAAAATTTGTATCTTAGAAAAGAACTTTCATAACTCTCTTTTGCAAACACTTTAAGGAAGAAAATTCTAAATTTTAACTGCCAATACCAGATTTGATCAATTGTGTAGTTTTATCTAGATCATACTTATCAAATCAAATCAAAATTTTCTTTATTCATTATGTCCACATAGAGTACAGAATGGCGTCAACAAGTACTATTATAAACTTGTAAGTACAAGTATATATAATACAAAATTAAAATTGTAATCACCGTAAGAAATCAAATTAACTGTTACAGAGAACATGCTAAAAAAAATCATTAAAAGTGTACAAAGGCTTAACAATAATAAATTACTTCAATTTTCTTTTTGAAGGACCCAAAATCAGTTATACATTTTATGTTTTCTGGTAATGAATTATAAAATTTGATGCCTGAATATGTTGGCTTTTTGGCTTTTTAAGCTTACTTTCTCATAAATCGTAAGCTTATGTCTATTAAAACAAAAATTATTCTTATTCCTAGTTTCATATCTGTGGTCAAAACCTAGCATACAAAGACTATTTTGATTTTTTTAAATCCACAGAATCAGATCATAGATTAATTGGCTGTAAACTTACATCCAGAAGTTTTGAGGAGTTGCCCATAAATGATGAATCTGGATTAGCAGAAGGCACTGCAAAATAGGGTTTCATTAAATAAATAAGTCCTATAGGTAAAATTAATATTAAAACAATCTTTACTACAGGCTAAACAGTTTTTTTATTGATGGAATACATAGAATCACTATTGGATCTATTCTACTCTCAAGTCATACTCATTACATCACAGACTTTCGGCTAATACAGAGTTTTTAAACAATGTTGAAAAAGTGTTATGAATTGATATCCTGTAAATCCTATTATCAGCAAGTCCAAATCATGGAAGCCTGCTTGAACAAGAACTTTATCAAATAGTTAGTCCTAGAGGTCTACAGTACAGAAAATTTAAGGTCAGTATGGTACACTATTGTACCACTATACACTATTGTCTTATTGACACTATTGTAATTCTTGACGAATTAACAATAAAGAATATTGTATTGTATTGTATTGTATTGTATTGTACAATTTAAACATTAAATTACGCTAGTAATAAATCCTGGAATTCATAAAGGAATAAAAGTGATAAAATTTTAATGAGCTAAACTACTAACTCATTGAGTTCTTGGAAGTAGTTGACTTGCCTACAACAATTTTTATTGTTGTGATAAAATATAAGTGGTTTTGCGAAATACTAATGGGTTTTTTATTGCACAATTACCTAAATAATAAATTATGAAAATCCAAAAAAAATCTGATAAACCTTTTTATGTAGGGATGGACGGGATTGAATTTTTAGTTCGGGATGGGACGGGATTTTTATTTTCTTCCTAATTTTCGGGATGGGACGGGACAGGATTTTTTTCTGTGCATAAAAAGAAAGTCTTGAGTATAGCAGTTACCAAAAAAGGCAAACAAAATCAATTTTTACTGTTTGTGGCACCAATCTATAAAAACAAAAAAAGGTAACAATTTACCTAAAGAAACTTGTGACTCACGGTTGAAATTACTCGCGGTCACGGTGCGATTATTAAAATGACCGCAGTCACGAGGAGATCGTGGGTATGACTCGCGGTCATAGCGCGATCGTCGTTATGACTCGCGGTCACGGCGTGATCGTCGTTATGACTCCGCGGTCACGGCATGATCGTCGGTATGACTCCGCGGTTACGGCGCAATCGTCGAAATGACTTCGTCTCCTGCGTTTGCGGACTATCATGAAAATCTCTCGCAATAGCGGTGTCATCGTCACTCACGAAGCGGCAAAATCGCCGACGATCAGACCAAATCCCGTCCCAAAAATTCCCGAATCAAATGTAATCCCGTCCCGAAAATTCCCGAATCAAATGTAATCCCGTTCCGATAATCGTGAATATTTTTTCCCCGAAAAAGTCTCAAAATTTTGGGACCCGCCCATCCCAATTTTTATGTGCTCCTAACCAACAACAGTGAATTGAAAGTAATTCATTGTCATAGGCTGTACCAACCACAACTGTACAGAGTAAAATACTTTACCGAACCGACGACGGTAATTAGTAGAGGAAAACTGTACTTTATCGGTGCACCGCAGACCCCTAGTTAGTCTATATCGTCACTATGCATGCATACATTAGCTATCTGCAAGACCGAGCAGGGCATTTGAGGATGTTTCTATTTTAACTTTATATTGCAAAACATATTTCAAAACATTGTGTTAAATATATTGATAAATAGTAAAAAAAAAAAAAATGTTTTATGGCTATTCACAGCCCTCAAAGGTTGTAGTGATCAGTATTAGGCCTACTCACCACCAGTTGGTCCGGGGAAAGGCGGATTCATTGCTCCTGGGTAGGGGTATTGCAAAGCGAGGCCTCCGAATGTTGTAGTCATTGGCTGTGAAGGAGCACGAGGGGGTGCCATCTGAGTGGTTTGAAATGTCATCATAATCTGCCTCAGTTGATCAGCCTAAAACACATTTATAAAAAAATATGAACAAAATTATACTTTAAACTCAGAATGTATGTTATGTATCTGATGAGAAACAAACAATTTACTCACTAACTGTTTTATATAGTGTAAAAGAAAGGAAAACATCTAATTATTCTTTTAATAAGTGAGTCAGTGATTGGCAATCGTAAGGGTGCGTTCACAAAGAAAGCTGGTTACAAGAAACTTATTTTCAGCGCTTGCTCTAAGCGCTTGAGAACCTTGTGTGTATACAAAAGCTTGCATTTCAAGCTAGTTTTCTGTTAAGACATTGTCTTCATCAAGTGATGAAGGGTTATTTTTGCTTGAAAATGTTGAATTAAAAATTTGTAGAATAAGGAAAGTTGGTGTTCATGCAATTAACCCCGGAAGAGGTAGGTTTGCGTAATACCACCACCTATTTCCTCAATATTGACATTGGGCAAAGTTATTTATTTGTTCTTTTATGAGAATTGAGTTAACCACGTTTAGTTACATCCTCAAGAAACTCTATTAGCATGTAGTCTGAGGCGTTTGTCCCAAATAGCCCCTCTTCTAAAGACTTGAGATATCAGTTCATCGAAATCCATACAGCACAGTTGTTTGACATTGACTGGTTCAGTCAACAAGAGCCGGAAAACAAGTACAAAACGTTCTTGCGCTCTTGTCAGAACTTGTAGCAAGCGCTTGATAGTCAGGCCCAAGTTTTGTCTGTGAACACACACGCTTGATACAATGTAGACTTTTCTCACGCCGTTTAAAACTTGCAAGAGCTTGTAACCAGCTTTCTTTGTGATTGCACCCTAATATAGGCTATCATTCAACCTTTTATATAACATCATAATATCTAGAACCATGAAATTTGATCTCATAGAAAAATAAAGAGATGGGCTAGAACATTTCGATGTGAGAATTTATAAAATTAATCAAAATTAAAACAGGAGAATGAGCAAATAAATCAATGCCTTTACTGGAATATTTGTTTTGAAACTAAAAGATTCACTCTTTCATCAATTAGCACTTTTCAAATACAATATTGAAGGTTGAGTATTCCTACCTGTTCCTTGCCCTTCTCAATCTGAAGCTGTTGGCTGGCCACCAGTTGTGTCAGATCCGAGATGGTTTTCTGAAGTTTTTCTGTGATTTCCTTGTGAATCTTTTCTAAAGGTGGAATAGCTGGCTCTTTGGGCATCATCGGCAACATGTCAGGTTTCAAATCCTCCATGTCAATACCCTGTTCAATCTTTCTTGCTGTAGCAGCATACTTTTCCTGCAGATAGATTTATAAAATAAACTATCATATGTATACATTTTCAAAATCTATCATTCACCAGGGATTTTATTAACAATATTGCTAGTGTTGCTACTCATGTTGAAAATATCTGGAGACTTGCAAGTTTGAGAATCCTCATCACATCAAGAATATTAAAACTTTCAAAGATTAAATAAAAAAAATACAACTTGTAATGTGTGAGTCTTTTTTAGTTGATTCAAGTAGGATACTGGGAGCAACAACTGTATTATCAAGTTGAGTTGACCTTTACTGTGAATAAATAACTTTGTGAGAGATAATTACTAATTAGATGTACCAAACTGATTTTGCACTGACAACCGAGGTATACAAATCTGTACTGTACTGAACTGCCCTGAACTAAAATTTTCAGTGCTACAGACCAAGGCCCCACTAGAAAAACAGGCCATGCCGCAGGATCCATGACGTCACACTTGGGGATAGATTCACTGCCATATCCCATATGTTTTAGGCAAACAAGCTGGCTGTTTACGTCTGGCAACTTTATTACAACTTTCAACCACTGTGACATAATGTTGTGTTGCCCTCCCTGCAGCGTTGCCTGTTTTTCTAGTGGTGCCTTGTACAGACTCCTAAACAAAAGCAATCAAACAACATTTTAGTGGTTATCTATACTTATAAAAGGCAAAGCCCTCACTGAGACACTCACTCATCGCTAATTCTCCCACTTCCCATTTACCTAGGAGGCTGAAATTCGGTACACCGATTCTTTGGGCATTAAATAGGAAAACTAAGTAGTTTTTATTCTGATCGGGCTTTCGGGCTCCGCCCCAGTGGCTCTGGAGTTTCCCATGTTAACCTTATGATTTTTCATATTCAAAAGGAATTTCTTAACAGCTGTTTCAATTAAACAAGTTGGTTCTGTTCTATGATGTTCAATAGCATTAAAGTTACAAGGATTACCGACAGGGTGCAGCACTATTATTTTTTTAAATTTATGACTCCAGCCAAAATGCATGTAATAAGTTTGTTCTCAATGAAAATAAATAAATTCATTTAATCATTCATTTAATTTGCAACCAAAAGGTGAGTGAGCGTAGCGAACGAACTTCAACTTGGAAGCGAGTTAGCACAGCGAACGAGCTAACCTGAAGGCAAGTGAGCGGAGCGAACGAGCTCCAACCTAAAGGTGAGTGAGCGTAGCGAACGAACTTCAACCTGGAGGCGAGTTAGCGTAGCGAACGAGCTAACCTGAAGGCAAGTGAGCGCAGCGAACGAGCTCCAACCTAAAGGTGAGTGAGAGTAGCGAACAAACTTCAACCAGGACGTGATTGAGCCATGCGAACGAGCTCATCTTAAACATTAAGAAGTTAAATGGGGCAAAGTCCGCGGGTACAGCTAGTCCTAAATATTTAGATTTTAATTCAAAAATAGTAGACCTGGAAGTCAGCCTCAATCTGCTGCTGCTGTTTAGCCATTTCCATCCACTGCATGATGTTCCGTTGGATGAGGGGATATGACGGAAGAGTCTCAACTTCCCCTGAGGAGCCGACAACACTGAACCAACCCTGCATCTCTGTTATTCTCTCCACACACCGCTTCTTAAGTCTGCAAACAACAGTAAACATGTGCCTTAGCCTTTCATGGGAATAATTCATTCAACATCACCTCCAAAAAGTCTGCCACCTATAATAAAGTACCGGTAGGTAGTCAAGAAAAAACATAACATCATTTTTTTAAACTTATAAACATGTTCTTTTTATTATTGTCTTTTAACTAATAAAAAAAAAAAAAAACTACATCCTTAGTTTGTTTTGCAACGTTATTTTTTAATCACCCTTTGCTCACAAATCAAATTTAATTGTACTGTGAAGTTATTTACAGGGTGGTATAAAAAAGCTAAAGGAGAAGTGCAAGACATCCAGCTGAATATCGATCAGAAGGAGGTGATATTGCTCATTATTATGCTTAATAGACGTTTCCTGTTTGATTGCTGACACAATGCACACTACTAACCACCGTTGTGATAGAAACTGACCACCTATTAATTCTACATTATTTAATGGTACTGCTAATGTAGAACACCAGGTGCTGGATGCAGAATGTACACCACAAGCCATTTTTCTCAGATATAACACACTGTAACCCTTAAATGAGTTGCATTAATTGTGCTTAAATAGATTTGTTTTTGATTAAATTAAGCGGAATTATGTTTATTCCTGGAATTAATTGTTTGACAATGGCAGCTCGCTGAAACATGTAATACTTTCACAAATATCAATATTTGGAACTGATAAAGGTAATGTAAAACCAAATTAATATATATTAAAACTCTAATGCTACAACAATGAATTTTAGTATTTTTTCCTTAAAGGTGTAATATAATGTATTGTAAATTAAAAAAAAAAGAAATAGTTACAGAGGTTACTCACAAGTTGAGCTGTGTTTCCCAGCAGGTTTTGACGAGCATCAATTGAGACTGCTGCGCTTTTTGGAGTCTACATTTCATTTTCATTTCTAGGGACTTATAATTTCCTTCAAACTCTCTGAAATAAACATAAATGATATTAAAAACCTTCGGCGGTGTGGGTCTTTTAATGCAGGTTGAGAGCTGTAGCAATATTTACTCGTGCTATGACCGCGAGTCATTTCTACGATCGAGTCATGACCGCAAATCATTTTGACAATCGCGTAGTGACCGCGAATCATTTTAAGATTGCATCGTGACCGCGAGTCATTTTGACGATCGCGCTGTGACCAGGAGGTCACAATATTGTGTTAGGTAGCAATATTGCTCTATACATGTCAAAATTTAGGATTGATTGAGCTAAACTGCTTTTCTACTCATAACCAATTCAGGCCTTAAACTCAACACAGTTTTTTAAATGCAGTGAGTGATGCAGTGAGTCTGTTTCAATACCTGTTAGGTATTTTATAATGGGACTGATGTTTTACAGTAACATTACACAAGATATGACATTATTTAGTCACAAAGTCTTTTCTTAACCTGCAAATTTTTACCCATTATTGGTTTTTATAGTGCCACAAACAAATTGAATTTTTTTTGTCTCTTTTGTTAACTGCAATACTCATGGCGTTTAAAACAAACCCTTTTTTTTGCACAGGAAAAAATCCTGTCTCATCCCGTCCCGAAAATTAGGAAAGAAATAAAAATCCTGTCCCGTCCCGAACTAAAAGTTCAATCCCGTCCATCCCTAGATATATTATTAAATACCGTATAATATTAATAAACAATACAACTGAAGGCAAAAAGTTATACTGGAATAATACTATATATACTATACAGGGTGTCCGGTCATAAGTGTTAAATAAAATTTTGTATCAAACTACATGGTAATGGCGACATAATGACGCACATTTGAGGTTCCCAACCTCAACCGTTAGGGAATAACAAATAAAATAAGATTTTTCAAAAATTATTGTAGTTGTTATGAAAAAGGTTGTATTTCTCTGTTAAAAATGCAATAATTGTTAGTTTAAATGTCATTTTCAGAATCCTCACAAAATTTTAAATAGATATAACACATAATCGCTAGGGTACGGAAAAATATTCTACTTAAATTTCCAAGTTAAACAATTATTTTTAATACCGGCGAAAATTTAAATAACATTCAGCGATTTATTTCTCGGTTACCGAGATCCGCTGAGTTTAACAAATATCACTAAAAACTTCCTTATTTAAAGGGCTTTCCAATGGTGTATAATAGTTTTTACCAAGTTTAAAATTTCCTAATGTAATTAAATCATTGTTGTGAAAAAACATGGTAGGGCAAAGAAAAGCTATCATGAAGAATAATATATTTAACTGCAGGCAACGAATAATTTGTATTTTTTCTCACATGCAACGCTTTTTTAATAACTATTAAGCTAAGAAAAGAAACATATAGTAGCAAAATGGGTTTGTGATAAAGTTACGATAATCGTATATTTTTCATATTTCAGATAAGATTTCAATTAACTCGCGGAAGTTCGCTTGTGGCTGTACCAAAACTACTCGACATGGATTGGACGTGGAGGAAGTGTGACATGGCCTCCTCGATCTCCAGACTTGAGCCCGTTAGATTTTTTGTTTGGGGTTACATGTAAAGTCTAGTTTACTCGACTGTTGTAAACTCTGAAGTTGAGTTACGGTAGAGAATCTTCGAGGGTGCTGGGAAAGCCCGCTTGCGGGAAAACGGAGGGCACTTTACACCCAAACTGTGATTTCACCTTAATGTTGAGCTTCGGACGAAGTATGTCATAGATTTGATTTGTATTGTATTTTTTTACTAATGTATTGTGTTTTTTTTAATAACAAATTTTCCAAAGTCTAAACAAAAAGTCTTTAGTTTGATAAAAGTGTAGTCTGGTCAATCATAAATTACACAAACCCATATCATCAGTGGTAAGCTCATAAAATAGTAAGAAAAACTCATTATTTTTTACAATATCTGTTTTGGTTTAACAGTGATTTTTCACAATAGTAGGCCTACGTAAAATTCACCATAGATTTGACAGTAGATAATAGTAGTTATACATAATTGTAAAGCCCTTTAAATGTGGAAGTTTTTAGTAATATTTGTTTAACTCAGCGGAACTCGGTACCCGAGAAATAAATTGCTGAATGTTATTTAAATTTTCGTCGATATTAAAAATAATTGTTTAACGAAGAAATTTAAGTAGAATATTTTTCCGTAACCCAGCGAAATTTTCTTAGCTTAATAGTTATAAAAAAAGCGTTGCATGCGAGAAAAAATACAAATTATTTGTTGCCTGCAGTTAAATGTATTATTCTTCACAATAGCTTTTCTTTGCCCTACCATGTTTTTTCACAACAATGATTTAATTACATTAGGAAATTTTAAGCTTGGTAAAAACTATTATACACCATTGGAAAGCCCTTTAAATAAGGAAGTTTTTAGTGATATTTGTTTAACTCAGCGGATCTCGGTAACCGAGAAATAAATCGCTGAATGTTATTTAAATTTTCGTCAGTATTAAAAATAATTGTTTAACGAAGAAATTTAAGTAGAATATTTTTCCGTACCCCAGTGATTATGTGTTATATCTATTTAAAATTTTGTGAGGATTCTGAAAATGATATTTAAACTAACAATTATTGCATTTTTAACAGAGTAATATAACATTTTTCATAACAACTACAAATTTTTTTGAAAAATCTTAATTTATTTGTTATTCCCTAACGGTTGAGGTTGGGAACCTCAAATGTGCGTCATTATGTCGCCATTACCATGTAGTTTGATGCAAAATTTTATTTAACACTTATGACCGGACACCCTGTATATACTGTTAACCAAATTTAGGCGGTTTGAAGAGAAATTCCCCTATCACTTTTTTGTGCTTAATTTATGTTACTTAATAAGCTGTTGAGCTACTATTTTAAAGGTAAGGATCAAGTGTAGGGTATAGATTTCTTCCCCTAAAACCAACTTAATTTTGTGAAAGGAGTATAGTAAAATCCACTGGTCACTTGAGATAAATGAGCAGTATAATCAAACTGACACAATACTTTCTCCCATAAACCTGAAATAAAAATTGAACATCATACTACTTTTATAACGGAAAACAATTGTAATGGGTGTTTTTTCCCATTACAATTGGACGACTTCTCACTCTTTTACACTAAACATAAACCATTTATTAGTTCCCTACCTCAGATCATGAATTGAAAGCCACCTATAAAATAATATTGTTTGTGAATTCATCATGACATTTGTTTAGATATTCAATTAGAAACACAGAAAAGTTATTTGCACTAAATAATTTATTAAAACTTTCTGAGTAGCACCTTTCCACTAAAGAACCCTTACACTATACAGAATGTCCTGTAAGTACTGTACAACCAATTTAGGAATACAGTAGACTCCCTCTTATCCTGACTCCTTGGGACCGAGGCCGTTCCAGTCCGGATAACGGGTTTTCTTCTGGTTAAACCGACGTCCTCAAAAACTTGTTTAAACAGACCGTTTTAATGCATAATGTATACAGTATTTGAGTTAAATTTAGGAGAGCATTGCATTTATACATGTGATTGCTGGTCTCAAATCTTTCCCACGAGAACAGCCGTTTCAGTACCGCCCACTTCCTGCCTATCTGGTCCGGTTAAACCGATGTGCTGATAAAATTGTCCGGTTAACAAGTTCGCTGCGGGCCATCAAATGGCAGGCGTAGCCCCAGTGCGGCGCAGCCCGCAGCGTCGAACAAACCCGATTGCCGGGTGTTTGGCTCTCATATTTCGGTATGACGAATAGCAAATAACGTGCGGTGATGTCCTGTTTTATAACAAGAGTCGACGTAGTTCGCTAAACACTCACATATAGCAGCACTGCTTGGAACGTAGCCGGTCCCATCGTATTGCCAATTGGAGGGAGAAAGACGGGACAACAAGTTGATTTTTAAGTTTGCCAGACGGGGATTTTATGGGGAAATTTTACTACCAACCTACAACACAACAAAAAGCAAGTCACCCACTACATGCTAACATGGAATTGGTCTGCCTTCGACCGACGCTAGAGCAAAAACGATGATATACGAAAGGCATTGCCGAGCGTATCCGATCGGTTACGGCAGCGTCTGAACAGCGCTCGGCCCGTATCCGATCGGATACGCCCGCAGTGAACGTGTTAAAGAGATCATTTCCGCTGAGCATAGTCCGGTTAAACCGATGTCCAGTTAAAAGGTGTCCGGATAAGAGGGAGTCTACTGTAGATTTAATGGAGAAAAAAATCAAGAATTAAATATTTTAAAATAGTTTTTGAGATACAAATTGATACCCAAAACAACTTTGAAACACAAAAAACAAAATAACGGATATAGGCTAACACTAACAAACTTTTTTTTAAACTAATTATTTTAGATTTCCTTTTTATTTTAGCCCAATAAACATATTACTGAATTTGTTGTACTTTCTTATCGGACACCCTGTACAGTAATCTTACAAAATTTGCGTTAAATTTAGTACCATTAGACCTTTCGCCTCTAATGAATGGTCACTTTTAGATTGGACAGAGTTTATGTTGATTAAAGATGTGGCCTACATTGATGTTAGCCAATTATTCTATTGTCATCATATAAGGGTGTGAAATTATTCAAAATAATAAGAGAAGAGAATGATTACATAACACATATGGGGAAGCACTTTTAGATGACAGGAGTGTACAACGTGTCAACCAACGATAAAGTGAATATACAAGATAAAAAAGTGGGAGACAACTGTTTAACGCAAATTTTGTAAGATTACTGTACAGCGTGTCCGATAAGAAAGAAAAAAATTCAATAATATGTTTACTAAGCTTTATGAATTTATTGATAACTTAACTAGAGTGAAGATAATATAGCACTGTTGCCCATGTTATCTACCTACTTATTACCAGAACTATTCATTTTTGTGGTATGAGTTGATATTTATCATGTAGCTCTGTTTTAAAACTGTAAAATTCAATACACATTCAAACCTATTTCAATACGTTATCACAGTAAAGTACCTTGATAGCAAGTAGAAAACTATTTTAAACACAAATGTCAACTTACTTCATATTAGTTAGAGCAGCTGTAAGGGATTTTTTCACATCTGTAGTGTCTTTTAACAACACACTTATCTCTTTCTTGAGCTGAATATTTTCTTGCGACAGATTTGAGTACATCTCTTTCATATTGTTTAATTTCTTTGCCTGTTCCTCCTCTCTCTTCTTATATTCTTTGTCTTTTTTAAGTAATTCTGATTTCACTTGCTCACGAACCTCGTTTATATTCTTTTTATTTTCTTCATGTAACTTCTGCAAAAAGAAATAAGCTATTTCAGTAGAGTAAAAATTGCTAAAAATCGGTTGACACTAATCTCATTTATGTATTCAACAACTGGAATTCACTTTATATACAGCCCAACATAATTCCAATTGATGATACACAAGGCCTCCGCACTTGGATACCTTAGAATGGACCCTTGGTGCAGCAAACCTGCAAATTTCTAGTTCCTTTAGAGTTTGTAATTACAAAAGTATAAAAAAACACACTAGGCCCATAAGATCTTAGAAACACAACTGTTTCTTTTGGTAAAATTTCAACATCAAAATTTAGTACTAAACACAATTATTAAGTAATTTTAAAATATGCCTAGTAATAAAATAAATTAAAATTTTCCAAATTATGGAGAATTAAATATCCAAAAACAATCATTTATACAATAATTAATTTGATATTTGTGAGGAAAAATGGAAGACAACATCACTCATTGTTATCTTTATAAACAACAGGTGCAAAATAAAAAACAATTGCACTTCATAGTTTTTCTTGATGGGAACAAATATGATGATGATACTTCAGCAGTTGTCCTGTTAGAGCAATTGTTATATACAGCTCTTCTTTGGGATTCTTGGCAGTTCAATATAAACATTTTGATCTTAAATTCATTTTATGATGGGAACTTAGTTTTCTGAGGTAAGACCCTTTTGGAAATAAACATAGAAAATTAATCCCACCAAAAAACTCGTTTAGCCAAATCGTTGAAGATGTTTTTGGGATAGCCAAAATATTTAAAATATACAAGTATTGCACAGTAAGATAAAAATGTAAACACAATACTTACTGCAATGGTGTCATGTTGTGCTTTTAATATTTGCTTTTCGGAAACAAGCTCTCGAGACAATCTTTCTTTATCCTTGTGGGCTAAAGCAAGCTGAGAAGACAGCTCTTGTACTTTCTTGTTCAACTCTTTGTAGAGGTCAGACTCTTTTGTCTGAGATAATCTATGTTTTGTTTCCTGCAAAGTGCAAATGAATATTAACTAAAATTAAATTTTAAACAAGTAAATCTTCTTGATTGAGATCAAGAATGTTTGAATTATTGGAGTATTGATATTACCATCAAGATTTTCAAAACACTAAAAGTAAAATTGAACCAAACAAACAGTATTCCTATTACCACAAAATGATTGAAATTCAGCAAAACCATGTACAGACATGCAATAATATTGTCCATGTAGAATATTTACCAAATTCATATAGATATAGAACAACTTCCAGAACTGACTCAAGTTTACTGTACCGTACAATAATACAGTATGACGCAAACACTAACATGAAGACCATAGTTGTGTAGCTTAATAAAAAAATTTACAATTATATTTATGGTGCCAACAGTTTATTTCCCTTTGATTATCAGTAGGTTTTCATATCTCCTATTTAAATGATTTCACTACAAATGATTTTTGACATATTTTTCATAAGAAAATAATTAACATATAAAAGATGTTTAGTAAAACAAAGGCAATCCTAACGAATGAATATCCAGAAAGTGCACTCACAAGTGTTCATAGTATTATAAGCTTAGGTCAGACAAAACAATAAATTTGAATTACCAGAGGAGCAGTTTGGATGTGTCTTTCCTCAGTTACAATCTCACTTTGGGAGCCTTTGTCACATTCTGTACTTTCAAATGTCTCTTGTACCTCAGGAGCCTTGGTGACTTCTACAACTGGCTCTTGCTGGTCCGTCTGGTCCTCACTACTAGGTAGTGGTGTTTCTGGTTCCATTTTACCACTGCCAACATTCTCCCTATGTTCCAAGAATGTAAAGCAAGTGCTACTATCTGCTGGAGGACTCATTTTCATATCCTCAGCAGAGTTATCAGCTGAGCTGCCGTGTGCCGTCTCAAATGTTTCATTGCCTTTTTCTTCAGCATGCTCATGGCTAATATCAATTTTAGAGGTGGTAGGGCAAACGTCTTCACCATCTGGACTTCGAACAAGTTCATCTTTAAGTCGTTTAAACTTTTCCAAGATGTCGTCCAAAGAAAAATCTGAAAGAACAGAATGTCTGTACAAAATGTACTTCTACAAACATTTAATATTACTTGATATGCGATATAAAGAAAAGATTGTGCTTCTAAACGTAAATTGAAAATTTAGACATTATTTGAATATAGTTGCACAAAGAGTTAGGCCCTATTACAGTCTTGCACTGAAGAATGGATCTCTTATGCATTGTTCTGCACATTGAAAATTTAGAATCACCAGTGTACCTAGTGACCATACAAATCTATTATCCAACTCTTACTTTCATCAGGCTGAGGAGGAAGAGGTCCCTCCACCGTTGCAGGGGGCAGTAAGGAGGTATGCAGGTTTTGATCTGCTATGTCCTCATCATCAGTACCGTCATCTGAACTATGATCAAATTCACAGCTGCTACTTTCGTCATCTGAATCTTCCCCGCTAAAGGAACCAATATCCTGCAAAACATAGTGAAAGATATATTAGTCAGTAATTGAAATAACCATTGGTTATTGTTTTTGTTGTTGTAAAGTAACGAACATAATTGTAGGCCTGCACTAATTTAAAAACATAACTCATGAATTAGCATTAGAATTTATGGCTATAGCATGGATAAAAAGCTCTAAAATGTTAGGGTGTGTTGCTAGCCTAGTGGTGCGGGAGGGACGGGTTCATTTCCCAGCACATTAACACCACATATGGGTTTGAACCGATTTCCCGAGAAGCGTTTGCCTACCGCAGTTTTCATGCCAGTAGTCATAATGATCCCCAGAATCATCCCTGCTTTCCATCTTGCAAAGGAGGACAGATAGTCTAACAGTCCTTAGGAGGCTTATTGTACACAGAGAGATGACCGCAAAAGGAAAGTGTTGAACACAATTTTAACTGTTATCAACGGGATATCAAGTTTAGAGGACGGTGCCAGGCTCATTCCATAAGCAAACATCATTAACATAAAAAACCATGGGTGGTTGGGCAGCATGGCGAGGTTATATTTCTTGTAAAAATGTGCAAGAAGATCGATTTCCAACCTGAGCAGAACCTGGCCAACAATCTCAAGTAATCGAGCACCAAATCAGAAAATTAAGCTTGAGTCGAGCTTTTACTATAGCGTTGTTACCGCGATCTCTGATGACAACGGTTACATTTCCGTTATCCCAGGAGACGCTGATGATTTACCATGTAATGATGCTATGTAATGATGCTAATGTAATGAATGCTTGGGAAGAACTGTATATTCATAAGGAAAAATTTAAAAATAGAAATAAGTTGATTAATGAACAAGTAAATTTCAATTCCAGTTGTACTTATAAAATGTATTGGCTGGTGCTTCCGGTAGCCAATAGGGTATAAGTAGGGACGCCATTCAAGATTCTTGTTCGCCTATTGGGTATGATTATGATTGGAGTGTCCATTGAAATCGATCACCTCTTACCATCTTTTTTGTATATTTACCGTCGTGTGAGTAACAGTATAAGCGTAAACATATGTTTTAAGTGTAGACGTTTCTTTTATTTACTTTCCGTATATTTTTTTATAAAATAATGTATCTAAGTGTTTACCTCTTGATCCTTGGTGCTATCTGTTTGTTGAGAGTCAGTCTCGGCAGTGGAGGCTGCAGTCATGATGAAAGAGACAACGTCTGCAATCTCTTCTCCACGAGTGGCGAATCCTTCGTCCAGATGATCAGCCAAGTATAGATGATCCCCCAACTGGCAAAACCGAGTGGACTCCAGCAGTAGGTCAGAAACACCTGACACCCCACAGACAAAGTTTGAGTAACCACGTGACTCTTTACAAATTCCTGATCAAGAGTTTATAGGTAACAGTAATTGAAAATACTACATAGACTACTCTGTATAACATTGATTTTCGTTATTGTTAAATTTACTGTGGTTTTTATTTCTGTTTTTGTCCAAGTATGTAGCTACCATCATGTAAGCTTACTAATCACTTGTAGTAAATATAATATTGACTAATATGAGTTAAACTTAAGTTTAACTATAAACAGAAAACAGTATGTGGAAATTACATCAATCAAAGACAACCAAGTTTTAAACCACAACTCTAATATAATGGAAATTAAACATGGTGTCCCTCAGGGATCAATTCTTGGGGCCACTGTTGTTTCGGTGCTATGTTCATTCAGGGAATGCCCTCTAATATAAATTTATAATACTAATGACACGCAAAGCAATTTGGTTCTCTATGCTGATGACTCAAATCTAATATCAACATTTAAAACATATCAATGTCTTTAAGTATCATGTAGGGAACAGATAAAAATATCAAATCTTATTTCACAAGAAATTGTTTATTTTTAAACACGGAGAAAACTAATAAGATTTTTTTTTGACGGCACAGAACAAAGAAAAACCTACCGTTATTAGGAATATTTTCACTATTATTACTCTAGTTCATAAAATTTAAATAGCATAAAGTACCTATACATCACTATAAAAAAATATAGGAAACATCAACTATTTAAACCTGAACAGCCAACAATATAAGACAAGGATACAGAACATGCAATCACACGATTTGAGACCAAGTAGGCTTGCATAGCGAAAACAAAAAACCTAATGCAAACAACAGCGCTTGTGGTTTTGTCAATAGAAAGATAAGATATTAAATATCCATAAAAAATATTTTAACTTATGGAATAAGATTTTAGATTAATTACAAGTTCAATATGAAACCATAAACAGTTTAATTGCAGTATGCAATGGCGTGCAGCAAATCAAATGTTCACACAAAAATACTGGATCACTGAGTTAGAGGTGAAATTTAACAGCCATTATAAAATTATTATTTTTATCCATAATAGTTATTACGCTAGCAATACATAATAGAAGTCGTAAAGGAATAAAAGTAAAAAATGTACCGAACCGATGGTGGTTATTAGGCATACCCCTAATTAATACATTATCCATCCAGTTAATACTAACTTGTGATGTTTGGAAGAAGATTTTTGATGTCACCGCCTTGCTCTTTCCAATGCTCTTCAACATCATCCAACTTGAGGGGACCTTCATTTTTCAAGACATCGAGAAAATACCTACAAGTAAAAATTCAGCTAAGGAATTGTAAGCAATTTACTACCTACTTATGTACTGTACCTGAAAAGGCCTCTATAGCTAGTATCGTTTCTTTAAAAAATTGTGTTGATCATTAGCACTTACTAACTATAGTTTGCATTTTGACTCGATTCGATACTTACTGTCGGGGGAAAAAGTTTAGACACTCGAGTTTGGAGCTCTACAGAAAAGTAACGAAACTACTTAGAAAAACTTGTAGTATATATAAATTTTCGTTGTTTTATTCTACGTATTCCTGTGGAAACAAACATTTTTAGCTCCTTCAGGAAATTTTTTTTTACAGTCGGAAGGTAAAAACTCCCTGTTTTTAGAGTATCAAAAACCATCTTATGACTTTGAAAATTCGCACAATGTAAACTAAACGTCAGAACTTTATCAAACTTTAATACAATATAGACACATATACAATGAATTAATTTGTGTAGTTTCAGGATTTTACTCTACCCAAAAAGTTACGCTAGTTAGTTATAGTTAAAAAGTTATTATGTATATAGTCAATGATAGAATGTACAGTAAAAATCGGGTCTTACTTGTTTACTTTATTTTTAATCAGTTCTAAATTATAATTGATTCTCAAAACAGTTAACGCCAGAATGGCAACAACTTCAGAGCATCTTGGGATTGTGGCAACATTAGTGGTGAGTTCCTGAGATCTCAACATCAACAAAATCTTTGAATCTCCAGTGATCACGTCAACATCCGTGATCATCTTTTGCAGTCATGGCAATAACCGTGATTATTTACCACAATCGTGGCAAATTCCAAGATATCATAGTTTCTTACAATCTACACAGGAGCGCAGCAACATCTTGAAGGGACAGGGGATATCTGTCATAAAAACGTAAAATAATAAATTATTTGAGTACTTACGAAAAGAAATAATCTTTTATGGCTATAATTTCTGCTGGATCATTGGTGTGATCCAGAAACTTCTTAAGTTCAGCATTAATCGCTTGTTCATGGTTCCCATAAAATGGTTTATTGGGATTCCACTGAAAAAAAAAAAAAACACCACAAAGTGTATAAGAATGTAGTAGAAATTAAAGAGCAACTAAGAAAAAAAAACTCAGAACACATTAAGGTGCCCATTAAAAATTCATGACCCCAGCACAGTTGTATGTGTTAATCGACAGAGGTTCTACTAAAAAAATAAAAACCCAAGCCATGGACTTGCCATAATCTCTTGTAGATTGTCATTCTCTTGGATCAGCTGAGTACATTTTATTACATGTTTCTGTCTGAGGTATGTAGGTGTGTAGCAAGGTGTATAGGTGTGTGCACAGGCATTTACCCCCCCCCCCCCCTCCAATCAGCCAAAGTGTGACATGGTGTGCGAGGCACTACAGCTGAGCAGTATGTTACGCTTTACGCTGGAAATGCTTGTCCACCGTAACAAATAATCCGTCCACGTCAGTATCCAATAGCCAATGATAATAGATTATGAAAGTGGTAAATAAACATCTGATAAACCTGTTATATGCTTCTAACCAACTGGAAGGGCTACAATTATTGCATAACCGATTAACCAAAACCAAGTTTTTATGTCAATCCTAGTTAGCTATTTTTTGTTTCTTTTTTTTTTTTTGCTAAGTACCTGTAAAACAAACAACCAACCCATTCACAATCAATTTATTGAATACTTAAATGTTGAACCATTCAAATCCAAACTTCTCAATATCTGATCCCAACTGAGCCTTAACTATCTGATCTAAATCCGATCCAATATCCGGACACCTATACAAAATATTCCTTTCAGGGTTTTTTTTTGTTTCCTTAATAAACAAGTCAGAGGGTGAGTGGATTAAATGTACATTTACTTACTTCATTTTTGTTATCTTTCCCAAAATTGCACAGCCTCAAATCTAACCAACTTTGCTTTCTGCTCCCCATATCTTTCCTGAAACACAATATGGGAGAATAAATAGATCTCTAATAGGTCAAACCATAACTTTTTATTTGGAAAACACAAATCAAAACTGAAAAACATTTAATCTCAAAACTCAGAAGCCATATCCTGAAACCATGTTACTTGCCTTGGTTATGGTTATGAAAAATTACACAGTTCACAGTTCCAAGATTATTTACATGTTTTTCTTTAGTTGACAGCGTTTTATTCTTTAATGTTTATTAACAGTGACAAAACTTCAATATCAATTCAATAGTAATCAAATAAAACAAAAAACAATAACATTTAACAGTGAATAGAAAATTGCTCCAGTAAAACAAGAAAGTTTCCTTGCATTAGAATTAGTTTACGTTCACTTATCTATTAGTTAATAGACCCTACCTAATTCCTCTTCCTATTTCTACTGGTCATTTGTTTGTTTGTAAGTAATAGTAATGATGGTTGTGTGGCTGTACTATGATGAATATCAAGTATATCATATTTTGTTGCATTAACTTACACACGATTAGCCAAGGTATTATGATTATTTGCATTTTCAAGATCTTCATCGTCATCATTTCCATCATCCTGCACAGCTTGGGATGGTTTTTTCTCTTTCGATTTGACTTTCTTTTCCTTGGGCTTTTTTGGCTTTACAACCTGTAAAACCCCAAACTCTATGTTCAGAAACTATAAAATTCATAAATTGGGCAAAATGTATTGATAGCTAAGGATATAATAATGTTATGGAATTCCAAAAGTAAAATAAAACATATTTACTGTCCAAGTCCACTAGTCCACAATAACACATAGTTTTGATCAAAGTTAGAAATCTAAATTAGAGTATACTGGAGTAAACTTTTTACTTTGTGATATTGGATAACGGATAGCCTACTGTAAAATATTAAAATACAAAAACTAAATGCATTTAATAATTATAAATTTTACTGAGAACACAGTTTAATAAATCTTGTTTTGCCAAATGATGAAATTTCTAGTCTCAGCCAATTTACATATTCTATATCCGCTCTATATGTGGTCTTGTTTTTGATGTCGTATAACTTTTTTTTTAGAAAAAAAAAATACACAAGAATTAAAGTTTCAACATTTATATGTGTATTTGATACAACAATTTAAATAACACTTAGAGATATATTTTTGAGCGCTAAATAAAACAAAACAAATAAATAAACCTATGTCAAATCTTCTGGTGCAAATGTTACATGGCATTTTTTTTTAAGATAATAATTTTAAACCATATAAATCTTTAGTGACATACTAACCTTTTCTTTATTTTCTTTATCATCAAGTTTACTCTTCTTCTTCCTGCAAAAGAATTATTTTGATAAGAGTAGGTATACAAAGTATTAGAAGATTAAGACAAAGACAGTTCATATTGATGGCCTCATACATAAAATTTGATATAACTACGAGTAAAGTTGGCTTTGGCTTTGTTGTATTTTATCTTTAATTGTGAGTTACTATCATCTAAGGATTATTTAGGATGTGTTTATAAACCTATGAGGGGTAGATGGTTAGCCTTTGATATAAACACAAAGGTTTATCCAATTTCTTTGTTCTTTATCGAGGTCTCCTTTTCAAGCTAATCCAACTGTCTTCCTTTGCAAAAATTAGGTCAAGTAATATCTAAAGCTGAGTCTTCCGGGGCACGGAGTGCGGAGAAGCAATTTCCACTTGACCAGTGGCTTCTAGGAGAACAGTACCATTAGATACCTAAGACAAGTGGAGAGCGGACTTCGCTCTCCAAACTCCGCTTCCTCACAAAAAAAATCAGCTTTAAACATAATATACTTTAAGCAAAAAAGAAGATATTACTTTGTTGAAAACCAGGAAAACACTGAATTGTATTTGAGAGTTTTGTTCCACAAATAAAATAATATAAATAGGGATGGTTAAGTCTCGAAATTTCGGGAAATTTTCAGGAAATTTTACATCTTGTTACACGAGACGAGATTTATTTTTGGCCGAGATATTTATCGAGACAAGAATAAAAAATAAAAAAATTAAAAACGCCTGCAGAAAGTAAATGCAATACCCGCAATACAGGAGCGTGTTGTAGTTGCGTTTTCTTTGCGAAGGCGTTCTTATTTAATTAATTCTTTAAATGTAAATATTATTTTAATAATATTACTTTAATAACATTTGAGAAGTTTTGTTAAGTGTAAGCAGTGTGAGGAATGTTTTATTACTATAAAAAGTCAAAACAAGTAACTATTTTATAAAAATGAATAGGGGTGTGCGAAGCAGCAAAAAATTTTCGATTCGAAGCAACGATTCGATTCAAAAGATTTTCGATTCGATTCGATGCAACTCGATTCGAAGCAATACGGTATTTTTCTATTCATAATTGTCAATTGAGTGGATTAACAATAATTAAAATTTATCACATTTGTGTAATACAAATTTTTGTTGATGTGGTATTAGGCCTATTCATACTTACATATGAATTTTAGGTGAAAAAATATTTATTTTCAATCATATGTATTAGAATAACTGCTGGAAATACCAGTGAGCTGCTTTACTTGCCTATTTCATAATTTTTACTTGGAATTGGCTCAACTGCAAGAAAGAAGAAAATATTTTTTTTATCAAGACACTCATTCTCATTTTAATAACTGTTTAAATAACTAAATAGGTAACGGTAGCTAAATTACAACAAATTTGAATGGAACTTAATATAAAAAGACCATTAAGAAATAAATTTACATATCACAAGTTTAGGGCCTGTGGACCGGCTTCAGGACTGCAAGCAAGAAGAAAATAAAAATAATATGTTTCCACCATGCAACATGTATCATTCATTCCCTGCCTCCTAACCTCCTTAGTATAATAACCTCACACTTACATTATTTGTTACATCATCATAAATAAAGAATTATTATTGGCATCAGTAGGCCTACAGCTTTACATAGGCATTATTTTTATAGGGCCTAAAATAGTAATAGGCTGGAAGCAACATGTCAAGTAGAGAACTCATTGAAGAAAAGATATTGTGTAAACTAATTTCCTATAAAACTCAAAAACAGTAAATAACATACAAACATTGTTTATGGTATAATTAATAAGGACTAAAAAATGCATATAATGTCATACAGTAGTATAGACCTACCGGTACTGCAAGAGATTAAAATCCTAAAACAACTGATTTTGATAGCTAATGAATGAAAAGAATTAAAAATCCATAAAATGAAGCTAAACAATATCACAACTAATTAGGTACCCGAAAAGTAACTCTTAAATAATATATAGAAGATTAAAATAATATTAAATCAAGAGACAAGAAAGTTAAATGCTATCTTCTAGTGCCCTTGGCAACACAGGTCAATGTTTTTAAACTACCCTCAATGTTTTTGGAACAGCAGGGCCTTTTTCTCTTAAGGAAGGGTAGTAGTATGTCAACAAAAACAATGAATCAGTCTCACCAGCCAGGCCCGGGCAACGATGTGTGAATTCAAGGTCATAGACCCTCCCCCTCCCCTCTTACACCACCCGGTTGCTACCCAGTTGCTTCAATTGCTGACAAAATGCAAGTGATGAAACAAGGAAGTAGAGACAAAGAAATATATTTCTTTATTCAAAAACACAAAACTGTTAGAGATTATTTTCAAAGAAATTAATTCAATGTAATTTGTGAGTTGTAAATATTGTATTGGATCTTAGAAATATATTTTTTTAACACTATTTAACCAAGATACAGATCTGTTCACTATATCAGATATTTCTTTTGTTTATAATTTATTATGTAAAATACTAAATATATTTTTAATTAGGTATTGAATGAACAATAAATGGTTATACTAATATGTCTGGATAAATAGTCTTTCTATTCTTTTGACTCTGTTTTCTTTGCACTGTTAGTGTTGCGTCACGGCTTTTGTCTTGTTACTCTTATCAGTAGACGACTAGACCTGGCTCTGGCTAGTGGCAGTGCGGCAATTGCTCTGTTGTGTCTTTATTCTTAAAGGTCGTGAGCCAACTTAATTTTTAATTCTCATTTGAACATTTTAATTCCTCTGTAATAGATATAATAATATAAGAGTGTTTCTTTGGAAATAAATTATTCTTTTTTTTCTTTTGCCCCAACAAAAATTCGGGGACGGGGACCGACAGACACCTAACAAAAATACCAAATGTATCAGTCTATAACATTGATCTTACTAGTTAAGTATTAAGTAACAATTTTTCAGACTTATTTTTAAAATGATTTTGGAGTAACCTACCTTGTTTTGGCTAGGTTCACAGTAGTAAAATATTTCACACACTGCTTACATCAAGACAAAAAACAAAACCTCTAATCATTTGCAATGTCAAAACAAAAAAATATAAAACAATTAAAGCTATATTTAATGCAAAGAATGTATTAAATAAGAACGCCTTCGTAAAGGAAACGCAACAGCAACGCGCTCCTGTATTGCGGGTATTGCATTGACTTTCTGCAGGCGTTTTTCGTATATGGATACTGACTCCCTCGTGAATCGAATCGTTTTTTGACCACCACTGAATCGAATCGCGATTCGATGCATCGAATCGAATCGAATCGAAATTTCGATGCATTTTCGATGCATCGCACACCCCTAAAAATGAATATTGCTTTTATTTTATGATTTATTTTATTTTAGGATAAGTTGAACTCTATCCTAACTGATATCACTATGTTTCCTAATTGTAGGCATTTTAAATAAGTTAGGCGTGATTAATAAAAAAATGTTATGCTGATGTTTTTTAATAAAAGATTCTAAACATTCTTGCCTATTATCATTATTTTTGTATTTAAACAGTCATCTAACAATGTTACAAAATCAGGTACAAATTTTGAACGTGCATTTCCCGTTGTGTATGAGAAGGGAAATCCCGTCTCGATCTCGTCTCGAAATTTTATGAGAAATAAAAAATCTCGTCTCGTCTCGTCTCAAACTAAAAATCCAATCTCGTCCATCCCTAAATATAAAACTATACAAATCTCAGTAAGAACTACATATTATAAATATAATGTTATGGTCGTAAATGTATGACATACTTTCAACAACAGTAAAATAATCTTGATTTATTGAAACACTTGACGATTTAGAAGAATCCTCCACACACCCTTGTTAACATGTTTGTTTTAAAAGTGTTACTGTCATTATTGTACATTTCCATGTCATCCACAATGTTGTTTATTTACTGTACGGTTTAGAAGCTGAAAGCTCTAGCTTCAATATGTGGAATAATTGCTTAAGTTTAATAGTTCAAACAACTAGCTGAGTGGTAAAGTTAAGCTGTTGAAGAAACATAATAATTTATAAAGATTATCTACTGTAAGTACAAAATGACATGATTTACTTGATTTTCTTTTCTGCAGCTTTTTGTTCAGCATTAGCTTTGGGGTCAAGCTTGTTGACAGACTTGACTTGTCCGTCAGAACCGATTATCTCAATGCTGATGATGATCGAGGATCCATTGCCTTCACTGTTGATGCAGTCTGTTGTAAGACATGGCCGACCCAGAAAATCCTGCACATTCCACAGTAATATTGCTTATTACCGCAACAAACTTGCAGAATAGGAGCATTTCTATTTGCCTAGTTGTATTTCCACAAATATAATTCATTAAAATTGTCAGATATATTCCCAAATGACTTTTTATTGAAACAGTAATAGCTTGGTATAATAAATCAATTTGCCAGATTAGATCAAATTAAACAAGCAAACTACAATAGTTTTTTACACTCTATAATAATAAAATGGAAATTTTAATTTTTAAGTTTTTTTTTTTGGAATTTCCTACGTAGGCTATCTATTTAATTTAGAACAAGGCTTCAATAAAAAAAAAATTTAAAGCTCTACAGAATGGTTTGAAAATAAATTGGAAAACAATGTTTTAGGGTAAAAAATTAAACCAGTTTTTACCGATAAAAACCCTGTTCCCTTAGTCTGATCATACTGGTTCATGAACTCGTTCCAATAAACATAAGTTTACATGTTTTTACTAAATTCCATAAAAATCTGACGCTTTTACTCAAGATATCAAACAAGAACACAGGCACATTTTTATGTATTCACTAATATTCATTCCTAGCATAGTAAATTTGCTAAAAATAAAAAGGAATTTTCACAAACATCATTTCTAAGTATCAGTGTCTCCAAGTAAAGGTAGTAAGTATCAGTGAATGGATTACAAGGCCAAGGGATATTCCTGACAACCTGATAAATGTAATGTTTTCAAATAGTTCAGTAAGGATTTCACCCTTCACATACGTGTTATTAATTTCAATATTATCTATGGATATAAAGTATTAATAATGAATTTCACAGTCTTCAAAGTATGAGCTAAGGTAGACTGTAGTGGTTTAACGCCATGGATTTCACGTTGAAATCTATGCCTATCTAAAATGCCTTGTAGTCTATTAGACTTGTAACAACAAAATTAGTACAAGTAATTCCGAAGGTTTTTATGAGGTAAAATATAAAAAGCTGTTAGCTGACATAAGAAACCATAGGATCTATATGCTGAAATTAATATTCATACAATACTTGCCTTGTCATTTATTTTGCCAATTCCACAGACTGATTCTTTGTAAGACTTCCAACAAGGAACGTGGAATTCAATGTGACATTTTTCTTCACACATAATTCGTACATAGCCAATAAAATCTGGATCCCTGTAAATTTTATAAAAGAAAATTAATGAGCATTGACTTTTTGATCATCATTAAATAATTTAAAATAGATAAAAACCCCAATGAAGTAAACTGATACAACACCAGCTAAATATTACCACATTTACAAACATGGAAGACAACATTTAAAATATATTAAAATTAACAACACTGTATTATTTAAGTTCATCTGGAACTCATCAGTTTTAGGAATTTAGGGGTTATGTAGAAACAAAAACATATTTAATTTAATCAATAATCATACTTAAACTTTATTAAATTGTTGGATTCTAGATTGAACAGAATATTTAAACCTGTTACACTTTAAACATGAGAGGTCAATTAACCCTTCCGGGACGGGCAAAATCGTGACAGAACGGGAAAAAATTATAGGAAAAAATAAAAATTAATTTTCCTTATTTGTGTTTTGGTTTACAAGTATACATAAAAAAAAACACAATGGAACACTTCATACTGACAAAATAATTTTTTACTCATTTTTAACTATATGAGTAGAAATGCAGCGGATATATCCACCACCCGTCTTTGAAGATATGACCATGACAACGTTAGGCAATAAATAAAGAACAATATGTAAACAATAAATAATGATAACGTAGTGTTGAGCGCGAAACGTTGAGGGGGGAGCGTAGGAGAGGTGGGGGGTGCGCGGGAGAAAGGGTGGCGTGGGAGAGGGGTAGGCGCGGGAGAGAGAAGGGAGTGCGGGAGAGAGCAGGAAAGTGGCGCCTTGGTACCGCGAAACATCTGGTTACTTCTCAAGCACCTGCCAGTCTGTCTGAAGGGAAGGCGGATATATCCGCTTCCCGTCCGGAACATCAAAAACCATAAGTGGATATATCCGCCACCCGTCCTTTATCGCTAAAGACTTAGGCGGATATATCCGTCACCCATCCGGGAAGGGTTAATGTTTGGGGATAACTGTTTATGACTTGACAGAACTAAGAACACTTGTGTGGAATCGACAGCGACATAACACACTCAGCCATATTAGCTAGCTACATAGAATCTTAATGCAGCAACATTTAGCTTATTAAAATGATTCAGGTTATTCTATTTCTACACCATGAGAATTCACAGTAAAACAGATTGATAATCTTTTCAAATGATTTGTTCTTCAACTTACGTGGAATAAATAAGTTCCGAAGGCACAATATGAGCAGTGGTCTTCAAGCAATTATTGTATCTACATATAGCTGTGGGCTTGTGAGGCACTCGACACAGTTGGTTCAGTTCTTTGATTGCATTCTGTTGACAAAATTATAAAAAAACATTGATGATTATTGATTAAGGATTGCTCTTTTGTTGACAAGGTGTGAATTTGATCTCTATGTTAATAACAATTGTAAAATACCCCACCGCAGTAAACCTGCAGACTGAGCGAATAGCCTATAACACTATAGATAAAACATACTCCCTTAGTAGAATTGTCATCCTTATGGAACAGCTGAAGCCAATTTTATTGTTAGTTCTGTACGTCCAACTGTAGAGGTCGTGTTTTGTTTACAATTTGTTTCTTGTTATTTCAGTAATTTAAACCCTCATTTAACAAAATAAAACGATATAATCATAAACAATAACTGGTCTCCCAGTTTTATAACCAAATAGTAAAGCACAAATCATGAAAATAACCCTAAAATAATAGAAACAAAATGTTGTCTACCCCAGAGATCAGAATGGACGTGCATGAAGATGAACTAGACACGAAAAACAAGCTTCAAAATGTACAATGGGATGTGGAGTCTACTTGTGTTGCTTAGTCTATGATAACACCTTTGCACATAGATTATTCTCTGTAGGGAAAATTCGCTAAAAGCAAGATCAAAATGTAGAAGATTTAAGATTTTTGTATATAATATAAAAATAAAAATGAATTTAATTTAATAAATATATGTTTTTAAAGTGAGTTTGTATCTTTCTTCGCAAATGGTTTATTAACCCTTATAAAGATAAAGATTCACCTAAGAAAAAAGGAATTTGTTTTAACTGTTGCTGTTGTATAACAAGTTTTTTTTACACATACCTCTAATCCTTTTGGTGTGGTTTCTTCAATGGCTTCGCTCGTTCCTGGCCATTTAAAAGTTGGGAATATCGGAAATAATATAGCTTCTAGTTTTTCTAATTGCTGTAATGCAGTTTTAAACCTAGAAGCACAACAAAAGCTGTACCATTACATACCTTCAATCCACTCGGTGTAGTTTCTTCAATAGTATCATTTGTTCCAGGCCATATAAAAGTTGGAAATATTGGAACGTTATCTATTATAGCTTGTACTTTTTCTAATGGCTCTAATGCAGATTTATACCTAGAAACATAAGAAAAAGCTAAACCAACTACTATTGGCTGTGATAAAAATAATGGCTTTGAATGTATTCTTGAACAGAAAGAAAGTGTAACTTTAGTCAGAATGGATGATAAATGTAAATTGTGAAACACTTTGATATCTATAAAGGGAAATATGATGAATGCTTGGGAAGAAATGTATATTCATAACAAAAATATTTAAGCATAGGGACAAATCGATATATGAGTCAACTTTGATTCCGCTGGAACTTATCAGTTTGTTTCTAAAACTTCTGGTGACCAAAAGTACTTGAGCAAGGACGCCACTTGGTTCTCTCAGATTCCGATTGAACCTGTAAGTGTTACTGGTTAAAATTGATGGCCATTGTAAAATCTTTTTGTATATTTACCGTCTTAAAGTTTTTACTGTTTAAGAGTAAATACCAGATAATGATGGGAAAAGTATTTCATTTATTATATTTCTATAATAAACCAAAGTTTACATTTAACAAAAATTTTCTTTATGAAAGAAATTTCCTGAAATTCCCCCTTTTTATGATTCACAGTAAATCAAAACCTGACTACTACTCCCCGATATCAATTTTATCAGCTGCCTATAAATAGATAATGATTATACATAGACTTTTTTGAAACAATAGCTAATTTGTTGATAAGAACAACAGTATGAGTTGATAAGAACAAAATTTAACTCAGCATGCGTCTGACTTCTTCAAGGAGGTTGTCTGTGGCATTGACAGATCTCAGAATGTTCCTGGAACTCTTTGAGCCATGTCAAAAGCCTATGACTGTGTTGTACATAACATTTGATTTTGATAGTTTAAAAACTATTTAACAAACTATGATTAGCTATTATTTATATAGATAACTAAAAATAATACAAAATAAATAATAGCTATTATTCGTAAAGAAATATAAAGAAATCCCAAAGACAAATCAATAGAAAAATGGACGATGCTCGAAAATTGTTTGAAATTTCAAAACCCATCCATGCCTAACTCAAACCACAAATAATATTTGGATCGTAAAAGGAGGGTAGTGATAAACGACAGTGTGTTCTTTGAGAATACATTTTATTGCTGTTGCTCTAATGGCCTACAGATCAAATTTGATTTTAGAGATTACCAAAATAATATCACCATAAAAATATTAATATTAACAGATACAGTTTTTTCAGAAAAATTTCCTACTAATTTTTCGTAAAATCATGTAAAATAATTGTATCAACTGTTTAATAACTTACCTGTTAAGTTTATAATATGCTCGAGCTATTTGAATATATATAGCTGGAAAGTCATATGCAAATATGGTCATTTCATTAAGACCGTGAATACTTTTAACAATGTCATCGTAAGTATTCAAGTTGATCATTGCAGCATACGAAGCATATCTGATGACATTGCATTGTCTCTCATCAGTCTCATAATCCTGTAAACATATTGCAATCATCAGCTAACTACTTTAGAGATTGTAAGTAATCAGAGCTACAGTAGAAATCCAATCATTCAAATCAATTGGGACCGTAACAAATTCAAATGAAAACTATTCTGATAATTGGATTTTTAACGAAATTCAGGGTATTTTGCAGAAAATAGACTGAGCTTTTACAATGCCTCTGTAAAAATTTCGCGATCGAAAAAAATTCATGATTTACCATGACCACGGAAGACAATACTCCAGACCACACAATCGCAGTAGATATTCAAGATATTCAGTAGATATTTGGCTGCAATAACAGAAAACTATGGCAATGTTTCCATGACTGTGGGAGACAATAATGATGATGTTTACAAGACCGTGGAAGATCTTCAAAATTTTGCAACGATTGTGAAAAACGATGATGATGTATGACTGTGGAAGACAGTGAAACAACGACTGTGAGAGTTTTTTTATTTTCCCGCAATCACAGCTTCTGTCTTCTTTAACAAATTTCTTGCTCCTGTGATGTTAGGTTTTTTTATTAATTCTTTCACTCAGATATTCGGATAATCAGCAATTCAGATAGTTGGAATTATATATAAATATTTCCGCAGAGCACAGATTGTACATTTGAGCCATGGTTTTAATCAGTTGTGTTTTCATGTAATCACTCATATTACAGCTAATTATATCCACAGAGGGCAGAGTTAAAGTACATTTGCATCATGGTTTCAATCAATTGGATAAGATTCAACATGTAATATTGTCTCGCTGTTTATGTATGCTTTATGTCAATCCAAAATAAACTCAGGGGGGTTTTTATAAATGAGGATTTGTGATTGAGAATATTAAGTTTCTTCAAAATCTCAGTCTTAGGAAAAAGGTTACATTTTTCAAAAAATTCAAACAAAAAGTAAAAAAAAAATATTTATCCAACACAAATGTCCAGTCAGTATTTAAAAATTAAATTCTTGAACCTTAAGTTGTAGATAGAAAGCATCAATGTGTTATCACTATCAGTTACAGTTGACTGCGGAAACTAGTGGGCGTGTGTGTATTTGGGTTAATACAGACTATATAGGTAGTCATATTAAGATGAATTAATAAGAGCCCTGAAGGTGGAGAAATGCATAGGGTAACACAAACATCTTACCTACAAGAACTCGGGCAAACAATAAATCTAATACAATATCTTTGAAGCTCTAGTCCTCAAATGATATTTGTAGGGATGGTCAAGTCTCGAAATTTCGGGAAATTTTCGGGAAATTTTAAATCTCGTTACACGAGACGAGATTTCTTTTTGGCCGAGATTTTTATCAAGACGAGAATTAAAAAAAAAAAAAAAAAATTAAAAACTGCAGAAAGTCAATGCAATACCCGCAATAAACGAGCGTGTTGTACTTGCGTTTCCTTTGCGAAGGCGTTCTTATTTAATTAATTCTTCAAATGTAAATATTACTTTAATTATTTTAATAACATTTGAGAAGTTTTGTTAAGTGTTAGCAGTGTGAGGAATGTTTTATTACTATAAAAAAGTCAAAACAAGTAACTATTTTTTAAAAATTAATATTTTATTTTATGATTTATTTTATTTTAGGATAAGTTGAACTCTATCCTAACTGATATCACTATGTTTCCTAATTGTAGGCATTTTTAATAATTTAGGCGTGATTAATAAAAAAATGTTATGCTGATTTTTTTTAATAAAAGATTGTAAATATTCTTGCCTATTATCATTATTTTTGTATTTAAACAGTCATCTAACAATGTTACAAAATCAGGTAAAAATTCCGAACGTGCATTTCCCGTTGTGTATGAGAAGGGAAATCCCGTCTCGATCTCGTCTCAATATTTTATGAGAAATAAAAAATCTCGTCTCGTCTCGTCTCGAACTAAAAATCCAATCTCGTCCATCCCTAGATATTTGTAAGCTCACTGAATACAAGATTGCATTTTTAAAACAAATACCAACTATTTTGTACAAGGGTGAAAACACTCACATAATATCGCTTTCCAACACGCTCATATGCTGTCTTATAGTTGTCCGCAGCTTTGCGGTAATTTCCTGCAAGGTAGGCTTCACCTCCTGTTTTTAAATTTTCCTTAAAATCCTGGAAACAATATGAATGACTTTTAGATAAAAATATTGTATACCAAACACTCTCAATTATTAACCGAGGTTGTTTGGCCAGAGACTACCTTGGTTACTGAGAATCTCAGCTAGCACAAGAGATCTATTAGATTTTGAGGTTAGGGGTTACAGTACCACATTAGGAAGTCAAATACTTGCAAACATAGTGGATTTTGTTTGAATTATGTTTATAGTCGTATGTAAGGTACTGTACTGACTGGGCATCAACAAGATGCACAGTAGATATTAGCGTCTGCAACTAAACATTGCCATGACGTCAAAAGGAAAGATGGCATCTGCTGAGATAGTGAGAAGGCGCATAATGCATTGATAAGGCATGTATTCAGTCTCTCAGCAAATTGCAAATCAGAAATAGACGTTGTTACAAGAAATACAATATAAATTGAACAAACCAATATGTACAATGCTTAGGGTCTATCAATAAGAAAAAGTTAAAACACATGACATTGCAGGCCTACAATATTGTATACATTAGTCCACTCAGCAGCCAAAAACACTTCAGCTCAGCTCAGCAGACGACTGATGTTAAATGCTCTGGCTTGTTACCTTGAGGTTAGGTTATGTTTGATGTTGTTCTGGTTCTCACATGACAGTGAGTTCTATCTCAAGTTGTCGGTTTATATTTCTCACTGATTATTGGCCTAAAGTGGCAGTCAGTGGGTTTACCAAGTGTAGATAACATGACTGATGCACTGAGCTGGGCTATGACGGCACGATCGGACGATGCTGGCGAGTTAATAGGCTATATAACTCTAGAACAGGTGTATAGGCCCACACACATTTACTGTATAGCTAAATTTCATTCTACACTTATTTACCGCCAAACATAATTCAGTAGAACCTTGATGAACCGAGAATTCTACACTACAAAACCTCATTATTCCAAAATCTATAAGTATAAAAGAGGATGTTTGTATATATATTTGTTTGTTTGTTTGTTTGTTTGGCAGTGATAAACTCAGACACCGCTGAACCGATTGCCACGAAACTTGATACATACGTGTAGAATGTCATGGAATTGGGGTTATCGCCACTGAGTAACCTGATCAATGCCCACTATGGTTCAGCCGTACTATATCTAATGTAATAACCAAATGTAGTCAAGAATCTTAGCAAAGCACTTAAACTGCTACGTAGTGGAAATTTTTATCAATAAAAACCATAGCTTAATAATATTGCATCAACAGGGATTAAAATCAATACGAATTTATATTATACACAATGTCTTCTCCTGAAGTTTGCCCAGTCTGTGTGATTATTGTTTCTAAGGATGAGAAGGGAATCCAATGTGATGGACCGTGCGACAGATGGTTTCACGCCTCATGCACTAGTCTGTCGCAAGCTGAATATACAAAGCTTTCAAAGGATAGTAGTCGCAAATGGTCTTGTGGGCGTGATGACTGTGTTAACAGCTCTAAACAGCCTTTAAATTTGTTGATTAATCAGTTGTCTCAGTTATCAAAAGTAATAGGAGAGTTAGTGACAAAGGTTGATCAGCTTACACCTTTACCTGCAAAAGTAGACCAGATTCTGGAACAGGTGGATGGCCTCAACAAAAATCTAGTGTCTTTAGAACAACGTGTAAATGTTAATGAGGCTAAAATAGCTAGTCTAGAAAAGTCAGTAAATGACTCTGCGAGAAGTAACTTTGATATGGAGATGGTAGTGTCTGAAGTCAATGAGAGAAATCGTCGAGCTTCTAACATAATGGTTTATGGACTCCCTGAATCTACCAGCAATGACACTCAGACAAGAATTAATCATGATCTTGATCAAATTTCGAAACTGATTAACTCTGCTCTGCCTGAACTAAGCGTCACAGCAGTTAAGGCCTACAGGGTTGGGAAGAAATCTGCAGACAAAGCCAGACCTTTGAAAGTGTTGCTAAAGAGTGAGCAAGATGCTCGCTCTGTCTTGTCCAAATTCTCGTCAGAAGTGGCCAAAAATGTTGATCCAGATTTCTCGTCCGTCAAACTTGGAAGAGATCGCACTCCCAATGAACAAAACTACTATAAATCGATTGCCGCGGAACTTGAAGAGAGAAAGAAACAAGGAGAGCTCAACCTCACAATAAAATATAAGAACTATATACCATCAATAGTTCAGAGTTCAAAAAACGATTAAAATCCAACGGTCTCCCATCTGCTGTTTCTCCTTTAAACCTTTATTTTCAGAATGTAAATGGATTAAGAAGTAAAATCAACCTGTTGGCTAAATCAGCACCTACATCTCTCTATGATGTGATTTCATTGGCGGAAACTAACCTATCTCCTGATGTTAGTAATAGCGAACTCGGCCTTACGGACTTTACAGTCTTTAGATGCGATAGGTCAGAGCACACCAGTGACAAAAGAAGTGGAGGAGGAGTACTCATCGCAATCAGAAAAAGTATATCCTGCACTCAGATCTTTCCTTCAAATAGGTCAGTCGAGTGCCTCTTTATCCTATGCAAAATTGGATCATCTTTTACTATGATTGGAAATGTGTATATACCTCCAGGACAACCCTCCTCAATATATTCTGCCTTCTCGGATATTGTTGATGAGGTTATGAACCTAACAAAGGATCTTACTAACTTTTTCCTAATGGGTGACTTCAACCAGCCCGATACAGACTGGATCAACCACGAATCTTCCAAGATTATATCTCCTTCTTCCCATTTTCTTCTAGAGGCTGCGTCTTCTTATGATCTGAAACAAGTCAACCGAGTTCCAAATTTTCGAGGTGTGTTGCTGGATTTGATTTTCTCATCGATTCACGGGCTGCAAGTTGAAAATGCTGAGGATGTCCTTTTAGAGGAGGATAGACATCACCCTGCCTTGTTCTTTACTTTTGATGCCACTCTGTCTACTTCCTCTGATGGTCCTAGGGAATACATCAACTATCGCAGATGCAATGTTGACTTAGTGTTGAAAGACCTGTATAACCTCAACTACCCTGTGTTTGATGAGCTTCATGATGCTGAAACGACATTTAACTGGTTTTCGGATTTTCTTGGAAAGAGTATCAGACTACATTCTCCCCTAAAGAAGACTGCAAATTGTAACTTCCCATGCTGGTTTACCAAGGATCTGAAGAGACTAATTATTTCTAAGAAAATACTTCATAAGAAATATAAGTCATCTCTATCACCCTCTGATTATGAAGATTTTAAATGTGCCAGAAGAGACTGCAAGGTTTTAACCAGTATCTGCTACTCAAATTACATCAGTAGAGTGGAGGAAGGCATCCCTCACAATATAAAGTCATTCTGGTCACATGTGAAAAACCTAAAGAGCTCTTCTACTTTTCCCTCAAGAATGATCTTCGAATCTGCAAACGCTACCGAAGCTGACGGAAAATGTAATCTCTTTGCAGAGTATTTCTCATCGGTGTTTGGTGACATGGACGTCAACGTGCCTATCTTCAACTTTGGTCTGAACAAAACCATCAACGGCTGCGTTTTTTCGGCGATTGATGTTCAAAAGAAACTTGAGTGTCTTGACACTAACAAGGGAGCTGGACCAGATGGAATTCCACCTGCAATTCTCAAACATTGTGCCCAAGTCCTTGCCCCACACCTTGCAATCTACTTTAAAAAACTGCTTGATGAGGGGATTTTTCCTTCCACGCTAAAGCAAAGTTATGTTGTGCCCATCTTCAAGTCTGGTAGTAGCAACGATGTAAAGAATTACAGGCCAATTGCCATTCAACCATGCTTAGCTAAAGTATATGAAAGTCTTGTCCTGGATAATTTACTCTTCCAACTTAACAGTTTTATCATCCCTGAACAACATGGCTTTCTACGTGGTCGTTCGTCCTCTACAAACCTTCTAGTCTTCCAAAACTACATTATGTCAGCATTTAATAAGTCTTCACAAGTGGACTGCATATATCTTGACTTCAGCAAAGCCTTCGATAAGGTTAACCATCGTCTACTTTTAGCAAAGCTGGAAGGCTACGGTATATGTGGATCCCTACTGCGGTGGCTAAGAAGTTATTTGAGTGATCGAGAGCTCATTGTCAAGTGTGATGGAGGCTTTTCTTATCCGTTCCCTGTTCCGTCTGGGGTACCCCAGGGGTCTCACCTGGGTCCTCTGCTGTTTGATATTTTCATAAATGACATAAGCAAGGTAATATCATCCAATTTTCTTCTTTTTGCTGATGATATCAAGGTATTTGCGGAGGTAACATGCTCAGACTCCCAAGACCAACTCCAGTCATCTCTGGATAAAATCAGTAAATGGTGTGATGATAACGCTATGGAGTTGAATGTTGCCAAGTGCCTCACGATGTTCTTCAGTCGCAGTACTGTAGTGCACCCTTACAACTACAGCATAAACGGTGCCATCCTGAAAGTGGTTGATATGGTCAAAGATTTGGGCGTCATCACTACTCCTACCCTCAGTCCCTATGAGCATATCAGCCAAATAGCAAAAAGGGCTTCATCACTTCTTGGCTTCATTTTTCGAACAACAAAAGACCTCAAGAACCCTCTCACACTTATAATCCTCTACAAGACTTTGGTACGTCCCGTGATGGAATACTGCTCTGTTGTCTGGTCTCCTTATCAGTCTTTGCACATCGATATACTAGATAAGATACAAAGAAGATTTATTAGACTGATTGGTCTTAGACTGGGGTTCCACTTTCTGGATGTTCCTATTATCACCCTGGAGAAATACTATGATCTGCAACCACTCAGTCTGAGAAGGAAATGTTACGACCTGCAGTTTCTCTTCAAACTCGTGAATGGTATCATCGACTGCACATCTTTGCTGAATAATATAGAATTCTCTGCCCCTAAAGGAACCAGATCCAAAACGTTATTTGCCAGAGGATTCCAAGCAAGGAATTACTCCTACCATCATGGGTTGTCGAGGTTACTGAGGATGGGTGGAGAGGCTTCGACTCACATTGACTTCTTCGGGATTTCTTCTTCCTCATTCAAGAGAGACGCCTCAAGATATTTACAAGGGAGAACATCTTAGAAGCATTTTCCTGCCCTCCTGTGGGAACAAGTGATGTGTAGTTCTTGTTTAGGTGGTGCCTTTAAAGGGCCACACCTTAGTTCTGTTTTGAGGCTGGTGTTACCTCAGCAAGGTGCAGTGCAATATAGGTGGTGCCTTTAAAGGGCCACAAATGAAAGTTGGTGCTTTTTAGCATGTTGTTTGGTGTTTGACACAGTGTTCTTCCCATGTCATGCATGCATACACACACACATACTCCCACAAATTATACTTTTGTTAATACTTTTGTAATATTTTACTGTCTTTTGTTATTATTTTCACAGTTTATAATTTGTTATCTTTGTTGCCATAGTCTATTTTGTTGGTCTTATTTAATCGTTGTTGTTATTGCCTGTTGTAAAGTTACCGTCATTACTGCTTGTTACTTGTTACCATTATTACTAGGCATAGTCTTCTTGTTGTTATTTATTGTAGTTTTCAGGTCCCACTCATGTATTTATTGCCAGCTTCCTTATTTATTATTATTGCACGATTTTTGCACATACACACACACTCCCACAAATTACACTTTTTTAGTACTTCTGTAATATTTTGCTGTCTTTTGTTATTATTTTCACAGTTTATAATTTGTTATCTTTGTTGCCATAGTCTATTTTGTTGGTCTTATTTAATCGTTGTTGTTATTGCCTGTTGTAAAGTCACCGTCATTACTGCTTGTTACTTGTTACCATTATTACTAGGCATAGTCTTCTTGTTGTTATTTATTGTAGTTTTTAGGTCTCACTCATGTATTTATTGCCAGCTTTATTTATTATTATTGCACGATTTTTGTAACCACTGTTATTAACTATTATTTACTACTTATGTATAGTTCATAGTTTGACAAAATTGTATTAATGGAGAAACCGTTGGAATAAATAAATAAATAAATAAATAAATAGGTTTATACACCATCAATTTCGTGATCCGTCCAATCGGCTCCGCGCCAGTGGCTCTGGAGTTTCCCATGTTAACCTTATGAGAAATGGAATTAATGAATCTTAACAGCTGTTTCAATTAAACAAGTTGGTTCTGTTCTATGATGTTCAATAGCATTAAAGTTACAAGGATTACCAACGGGGTGCAGCACTATTATTTCTTTTACATTTACGACAACAGCTAATTTGCTACCAAAAGGTGAGAGAGCGTAGCGAACGAACTTCAACCTGGAGGCAAGTTAGCGTAGTGAACGAGCTAACCAGAAGGCAAGTGAGCGTAGCGAACGAGCTAACCTGAAGGCAAGTGAGCGCAGCGAACGAGCTCCAACCTAAAGGTGAGTGAGCGTAGCGAACGAGCTCCAACCTAAAGGTGAGTAAGCGTAGCGAACGAACTTCAACCAGGACGTGATTGAGCCATGCGAACGAGATCATCTTGAAAATTAAGAAGTTAAACGGGGCAAAGCCCGCGGGATTATAAATAGTCAAAGGCAAGACAACGTCTGCCGGGTTCAGCTAGTAACTTTTAAAATTGTATTTAAATCGTTATCATAGTACGTAAAAATGGCTTGTATATCCAACTATTTCAGTCCATTATTGATATGCAGAAGGCTCCCAAATTATTGTTTTCGTAACATCTAATTTCATTGGAAATTAAAATTGAAGCAGCCCAATGTCAAGTCAGCTTGCGGCTGATAACAGCATAATGCTTAGTAGTGTCTAATGGGGTGATTAGTAACCATGCCAACTTGTTGAATGCTTGGATGAAGGGAAACCGAAGAAAGAATATAAGAACAAAGAGAGTGCTTCTCTTCTGAAACAGCACGACTGAATGAGTAAAAAGGTCAATGACCTAAAGTATCATGATTGTGCAATATTGTACTTTGATGTAAAAATTTAAATTATAGGATTAATTTAGATTTTAATACTTCTCCTGGTGATTTTGTCATATGTGACAATCAATGCCAAATAATTTTTTGAATTTTATACGTTACCAATAATTGTACAAAAACACTTTGATATACTAAATAAATTATTATTATTTTTACTCTTTTAATAGGTCTAGAGAGAAATTGGGAAATTTTGTGTTTTGAGCGTCAAAAATGAGAAACCAATTTTTACCTCATAAAACCTCGTTCCCATGGTCCAATCATGCTGGTTTGCAAACTCATTCAAGTTTATCCCGCCTTACATCTTTAAACCAAATTTCATGAAAATCGGACAATGGTTTTTTTGGCCTTTTGGGACATCAAAATAAAAAAGTTAATCAGTCCTAGGCCTAGGTCTTACCATGACACCTAGGGAATAGCTACTTTCATTGGGAAATTCGCTTTAATTTACTAAATATGACTTGAATTAATTTTTAAGTTGTTTTTTTTTTGTAATAACTAGAATTTTTTTAACTTGGCACCCAATCCACATTGCACAGAGTTTATGGGACATATTTATTATAATGCACTGATCACTGAACAATTTACTTACTGCAATGCTTTTCTTCAATTCCGAAGATTGGGCTAACTCCCTGAGTCTGTCTATTGGACGCTCATATTTATCTTCAGAATTATTACCGGGTGCATCTTTCTGTTGGGCAAAACACAGATTTATTAGACCAACCTTTACAATCAATCAAATTTTTATATTGCAATATTTTGAAAACGTTTTTAACATTTCTGGTTACTCTTGTATAAATAACTAAACACATTAGGTCTAAAACATTAGGATTATCAAAACGCAGTTCCTTTTTTACAGTTTTTATTGTTTTTGTTATTGTGGTTGACATATTGCCAGATGTGAGCTATCATCATCAAATTACTTTGCGTATAGGCCAATAGCAAACAGCCACATACTATTTAATGGGAGTGTACGCAGTAGGCCAACAATTAACTCAAAATCAATTTGGTTTGTATTATGGGTTTTTCCCTGTTTAAGGAATAAAGAGGATTTACAGTGGTGTATACGGAGATAAAATTATTTTATTTAAAAATGAAAACTAAACATTTTTTTATATTAGCTATATAATTTTTAGAGTGTTGTAAATAGTTAAGCTATGCAGCACTTTTGTCCAAAATAATTCTTTTTGCTTTTTTATAAATTTTTAATTTTTTGTTCTCAAAAATATTTTTTTTTATTGAATTTCTTATTAATTGAATAAAAGAACGCTTTACGAAGATTAATGATGTTATAGACAATCAATTATAACAATAACTGTCATAATAATCGGCGAATATTTCCACCTACCAACCGCGGAGCCCAAAAAGATAAGCGTATATATCCTACCTACCCCCCCATGCACAATATGCCAGTGGATACATCCGCCTAACGCCTAAAGTCCTGCAAGGGTTAACAAAAGTGCTACTTGCTTGAACTTTTAGTTTGAAAATTTGAAGATAAAAGATTTGAAATTTGAAAAAAGTCACAAAGAGCTACAGAAAATAATATCCAAACATTTAAGATATGATTTCGATTTAATTCATTCATTTCATTCATCTTCTAACACATATCCAACATTCATTTTCTAAACTAAAACTATTTGTAACTCATTCACAAATTGGCGTTTTACCTTATTGCTGTATAGAAAGAAGCATATAAAAATATAGATGATTATAGTATTGATTTGAATAAACAAACTAATATTCATGACTACGTCGTCTCGAGCCGCACAATATAATAAATATTGACACAAATAAAACCAAGCAAATCCTATGTGCACAGTATAATAACCCATGGCATCATCACAAAACAAACTTTTTCTAACGGTATGATCTAATAAGACTGAAATGCAGGTTTCACAGAGGCTAGCATTATGATAAGGGCAACAAGATAATATACATCCTCTGTTAGAGCACTATCGCAGTCCACCAACACCACAAGATCATTAGAGATAAGCCTACCACTGAATTATTAAGGGAGCCACGCAACAATTTAATAAACCATCTCACTTTATCTACACACAAGACAGCTGAGAACAGTAAACGAGCAACACGCGAGTTATGTTGAGTGATTATATTAGTACATGCCGATTGGACAGCATAACCATTTAGAGTACCACAATGAGACCTTGGAGTAATGTGGTGTAATGTACCATAATTATCCATCTCATCATATTTACATAGAAAAAGATTTCAACTGTTTAGTTCAAATACAGATTTCAATGGCATTTTATATTCAAATTCAATTGATCTAAAATAAATATTATCACTCAAAATAACATGTATCTATACAATTAAATAAAATGTATATTATCATGTATTTAGTTGAAAAAACTGATGAGTCATACTTTTACTGGTGATGTAGCATCACAATTAATTATATAGTTTCTGTGTGACGAATAAACATTTCATTTCATATGTTTGGCACATTACATTGCTTGGCTTAAACTTAATATAGAACTTTTTGGTAAAATAACTGACCACAAACTCAAACACCACTCTATTTGTTAATACCCCCTTCCTTTAAAACTCAATTTGTTAACCCTTCTTTTGAATGTGCAAAACTAAGACATGTTTCTGTTTTCTGTAATATTATTTTGCTGAGACGTAATCTCACACAAAGAAACATGCCACTATAATTTCCACCGCTAAATTCCCAAAAACCAATCTCTAGCAAATAAGCTTCTTCCTTTATTTCATAAACATGGTGTACAACTGCTGATGAATTGGTACCAATCCGGAGCTATAGAACACAGGAGCCGGAAAAGGTCGCCGAGCAAAGTGGTTTCACTGGTGTGCGGCTGTGATGTCACCGCAGGGACTCCGTGAATCGACCAGCACGCGGCCCATACACATACCGCTTATTAACACCCTTCCCTACATTTACACAATTCAAAAGCTTGTATCAAACTTATATCGTTGTAATCTGAACTTTCAACCGAGTCTGGGGGTCAAAAAAATATTTTAGCTATGATTAATAATAATAATTATATTTTTAAGCAACAAATTTTAAGGTTTACAAATATGCGAATTTCAAAAAGTCAAGCGAGGATTTTTTATTTTTGGGATAGGAACAACCGTTGAGCGAGAAAAATGTTTATTAATAGTTCAACTTTAATAATTAATCTGAAAATTCTTGATAAAACCAACTTTTATTATTCATCATGAATTTCATCACGAAGTGGCGAGTGATAAAACTAGGCGTTCACATTCCATCGCTCATGCCCGCATCGAGCTATTCATAGCACAATATTAAAAAAAATTTATATCTTAATTAAAGAATACATTAATTTTGTAATTAGTGTAAAAAAGATTATCTTTAAAATTAAGTAGAATATATGCTTGGAATATTATTCACCTTTTTACTATACCGGTGCTCCTTGTTATTCTCTCTAAATACACTTAATTGAGTCTCTGCGAATGTTTAATGGTTTTGTTTTAGTAGAATAAAGTGTTTATTGGTACAAAATAGAAAAATTAAATTTTTTATGTGCTAGTTTGTGCACTAGTAAAACCTAAAATATTGTGAGGGGAGTGGAAAAAATTGTTCAACAGCAATCATTTGTAGGTCACAATAATTGTCTTTTGAGACTATTTTTTTATAAACTGTTGGAAGTGTGTAAAAATTAGTGATGGGTCGGTACTACTTTTTCAGAGTCGGTACTGGTACCACTTCCTAGCCAAAATCTATTCTTGGTTCTCAGATCCGGTACCATCGGTACAATATTTTAATTTTGTAGGATAGGCTACTTATTTTTTATTTTTAAAACAAAATGTCAATACAGTATTTCAATTTTACAGTATTATGCATTAGTATAGGTGGGTACAAAACTTAAGGGATTAAGAAAATAAAACTTATTTGTAGAAAAAAACAATTAAATAGTCAAACACATTCAAATCAAAATAATATATAATGTAGCAGAAGTATTAAACATATTTGATGAATTGGTGATGTGTCGATCCTAAAGTTTATCGGTTCTCAAATACCGATACTTAAAAAAACAATTCGCAATACCAATACCATTTTAAATAGTTTTACTAAGTATACTAAATGGACTGGTTATACTTCAACAGCCTCTGTCTTTATGTCTTTCTATTAAGTATGCATAAGGTAGGCTATTAGGGTGTTTTTTTTAAGTAAAAAAATGTATGCAGCAAAGAAACATTTTAACTAGCCAATTTCCAAGTGTAAACCCTTCCTATCACATCAAATAAGTTAACTACCATATTTAAGGTATCATATAGAGGTGTGCCAGCCTAATATTTTCAGTACGGCCAAACTCAAAGTAATATCGTGATAATCATTGTATTCTGAGATCACTGCAAATTCTGAAATATCTTTCTCAATTACTGAAACATCATCACTGTTTTTCACAGTTGCGGCAAGATTATGAACATCTTCTGCAGCCATGTAGACATCATCATTGTTTTACAGATGGCGGCAGGTTAATCAAAATCTCCCGCGGCTGAGTAGACATCATCATTGGTTTACGGATGGCGGCAGGTTAATGAAAATCTCCCGCGACCGAGTAGACATCATCATCTTCCACGATTGCAGCAACATCACTCATGGTCGTGTAGACGTCATGATCGTCTCCCGCCATCGCGGCAAAATCATGAACACCTCCCGCGGCCGTGTAGACATCATCATGAACTCCTGCGGTCAAAGGAAACGTCTTCATCGTCGTCTGCAATTGGGGAAATATAATGAGCATCTCTACAGCCATCATTGAATCCCGGTATCGCAGTGATGTCATCGTTGTCATCTGCGATCGCGATTTCGTCAAGAACATCTGTGGCCGTGTAAACATCATTGATACATTTGAATTGAATTGATTCCCGCATTCACGGAAACGTCATCATCGCCCCTGTGATCGCGGCAAAATCATGAACATCTCCTGCGGTCATGTAGACAACATCATGAACTCTTGCAGTCACGGAAACGTCTTCGTCATCGTCCACAATCACGGCAAAATCATGAACATCTCTTGCGACCATGTAGGCGTCATCTCCCGGGAACGCGGTAACGTCATCGTTGTCTTGTGCGATCGCGACAATATCGGTAATTTTTTGGCATTATCGGTACGGTACCGGTATGGACATTTCACCATCGGTTCTCGGTCTTGCCAAGAACCGGCGGAACCGACATTTGACGTGAAGTACCGATCCATACTAATAAAAATTTAACGTAATTAATGTGGAAGAACTGATTGACGATAGTTTCCTCGCTGGAAGTTTGTTCCTAACCCAAAAATAAAAATATTCCTCGCTTGGTGACTTATTCAAGTTTCAATATTGTATTGTAAACTTAAATTTGTTTAGATATTTTGATTCTCCAGTTAATGCAGAATAAAACTACATAAGATTCAAATTAAATATATAATCATGCAAAGGTAGGGAAACAAGTAGCAAGATTTTCGCTGGCCGCGTAATGGCAGCAGGCCTGACTGTCCGCACAGTGATGTCACAGGCAGGGCCAGAGGGACCATGTTGGCAAGTGCTACATCAAAGAAAAGAGCCAGCCCCTGTATTCTATAGCCACGGTTCTTACCCATCAAGTTCTAATCGACACCACAAGAAGGTCAAGTTTAACTGTTTTTATAATATTTGATCAACTAAGAGTAAAATATTGTATTTTCAAGGATATCTACT